TGTAGCATTTTGTACATTCACTTATTCAAATGCTCACTATTGCAACTGGAAGAGCAACTTTTCAACTAACACACCTGTCTTCAATTAACGGATGAAAGAAATGGTCAAAAGCTGACCCCTTACAGTTTCCCCTGAGGGTCAACTCACAAAAGGGTTTAGATTAGCTTTTTACACTATTTCACCAAACAAGTGAAATTTTAACAAACATTGCAAAAATGACAGAAAATTTTCTGAAATTTTTTTTTCTGGTCAACTTATGAGGGTTTTAGAATAGAATTTCATAATACTCCTAGAACAAATTGACTTATTTCAGTGGTCAACATACAAGATAGACGGTGGTCAAGCTACAAAGGTTTTGCTTCTTTATATTATATAGGAAAAATTCCGTTCTTGATAATTGAGGTCAACTTATGCAGGTGCCCAACTTACAAGGGTGGTCAACTTGGCAGGTTTCACTGTATTCAAATTTTTACGCCAACTAAATCTACGAAATTCTAAATGATAAAACCCGACATTTGAAGTGAATTGATTGAATAGTTCATTAAAAAATTGAAGCTTAAAATACTTCTTAGAAATGGCGATAGATGGAAAAGGTGAAATTAAGGGTAACGAGCCTATTCTATTGAGACCATGTTCTCCAAATTGCAGCTACTTTCCTTATTTTGAGGATCAAGAAGGAAAGTACGTTTTTGCATCTGATTTTAAAACTTAAAATGTCGTCTTTACAAATTAATTAGAATATTTAAGGTTCGGCTCTCGAACCATTAAGATTGAGTCCTAGAACGTGAAATGAATCTAAAGTTAATAAATTTATTTTAATAAAAATTTCTGCGTGCGGTACATTTGTATTCAGTCTTTTGTAAAAACAAGTAAGATATCGCTATGCTGATGGTCAATTATTTTATATACGTTTTGGCTGAATATATAGTCTAAGAAACCGTTTTTTATCATAATCTTGAATGAAGTGATTCAGATCGAAGTATATTTATTACTTTACGCCACTTTTACTTCACAGTCAATGCAACTTCAACTAAGCATAGAAAAGAGTCACATTTTTTTAATATTCATAAGCGGATTAGATTACATAAGCGTAAAACAGCTGGCATGCTTGTCCTGTTTTAGCATTTATCAGCTATTTGTTCAGAGGAAAATTTATAGAAAAAAAAAGAACTTAATGTGTCATCATACTATGCCGGAGTGTTTCACGTTAAACAGAATCAAGAAGAACTGGCACTAGGCCAAAAATAAATTTTAAAACTTCGCTCCTTCTCGATTTAAAAAAAAAATAATCCGAATTTTCAATTGTAATAAAGAAATTTAAAATAATATTTTTTAAAAGGAAAGAATAGGATTTTTATAATAATATCTGTGAGAGTAATTATGAAATCAAAATATTCTTAGGACGGAAAAAGAATGATTTTTAAACATTCCCTGGTATTTACATCTATTTAGCTGGTATGCGTACTCTTTACAGAACTTTTAATCCGTGGAAAACGCACAGTGCCCATAACAAAAAAGTGAACATCCTCAATATATAACAATATTCAGAGTGTTCACTTTTTTAATTTTGTGCACTTTACACATAATTTTCACAACTCTTATTTGATCTCCCGAGATGGATATGCAAACTTACGCTTTTTTAGATCTATCTTTGCGATATGTGATAGGTTTAGTTATTGAGTAAGTGAGTAATAACTACAACATTACGCTGAATTATCAAAGCAAAACATTCAAAGTAACTGAAGTCACTTAAAGTGACTTCAGTTACTTTGTCGTCATTATTAACAAAAAAAGGAAACCCCTGTTGACGTTCTCAAGTTTATCGCTACACTTAAATTCGCACCAAACCTCAGCATAGCATTAAGAATCCTACTTACATTGCCAGTCACTGTGGCTTCAGGGGAAAGAAGCTTTTAAAAACAAAAAATAATAAAAAATTATCTCAGAATGATGCAGACGCAAAATCGTCTCAATGGATTGGCAATGATAGCTATAGAACACCAAATTAGTGACAAATTAAACGGGGGGGGGGGGCAAAATTAAGGTTTTGCCTGGAGCACCAAAATGTCTAGGGCCGGCCCGTCACTTTATGTAGCATTAAAGTAGTAAAATTTATCTTATATTGGTCTACACTATGATGGAAATCGCTCGCATTTTACAGCAGAAGTTGCTAACACTGCAGCTACAGGTAAAATTTACAAAATTCTCTTTTGAACAATATAACAGACCTACGTGAAATGCAGAAAGTGCTGTTACTAACAGTTCTGGGAATAACACTGTACATTGCTGTAAATTTCACTCGGTTCTGTTTCTGACAGTGTTGTTCACTATCTGTAACAGATGTTGTCAGTATGCGAAATTTACATCAGTCAGCTGTAATATTTATAGCACTGTTCAAAACAGCATCTTTGTAAATTTTACAGCTGTTGATGGTAGCCGTGGTGTTTGCATCTTTAGTTAAGAAAAATGCATTTAAAAATACATGGAATTTTTTTAACTATGTTTATCATTTTAGTCTGTTAATTTATCTTTTCATCTGCAGGTATGATGGTTTTTGGATTTATCCTTCGCAATGTTCCTCATATAAATGTAGCGAAAGACATTCCTGAAGCATGGGCAGGGAACATAAGGTAAGAAGGTTTTTCCTAATAACAAAATCTGTTCTATTGAGGTGCATATGGTAAAATTGATTTTACTTGGATTGTGTTCATTAACCTTTTGATGCAGAATTTTTATTTAAACTTATTTTTTTTTAATGTTTTTTTTCATTATTTTATGCTCTTTTTCATTTTGTTAGTAATTTAAGTCTAAATAAGTGAAAAATATTATATTTAGCATTTTAACAATCTATGGTTCTGAAATACAGCATGAAACACCGGTGTCTTTTCCTGGGTTAAAGGTAAAATCTTCCAAACACACCTCACTTACAAATAATAATTTTAAATTTTGCACTTGTTTACTTAGCAGAAATTTGCAATAACAGCATAAATTTTTTTATATTTCAACCAATATTGTTCTTGAAAAAAATTGCTGCAGAATGATTCAGTGGTGAATGGGTGCATTAATAAAGAAAACATATTTAATAACAAACAAATTTAATAATAAAAGCAATAAAAAATAAGATGCGAAATGGGGCTCTCCAATGAGCCATCCAATTCAATCCATTGCCTGCCACATAAGTGATTACAGAATTATTTTTGAGTAATTACAACGCCCTCTTCTGGTCAGGCAGAAATTTGTAACAGCTGTTATTTAGCTCTCAGAGAAACAGTTATTCATCATTGACATTTTTTCAATTTACAACGTCAATTATTGATAAGCTTTTGAATATGAATGAAAAAAAAAATTCAAACTACGTTTTTTTGGATTTTTTATTTTGGTACAAATATAATTCCGATAATCTAACAAATTTTTTTACAAACAATTGTTTGTTAATGTAATTTTGTTATTTTTTACTCCTTGTTTATGTCCACTTAAAACTGAACATTGTATATGGATTAATATTTCCAATATAGCCATATGTAACAACAACATAATTTTGCTTGTAATTAGAGTGTCTGAAAAAAAATTGGACACCGGTATACCATCTGCGTAAAAGGGTTAATGGAATTACCATTATTTTGGCTTAAACTTATTTTTTACACTGCTGTGTTTCTAACCAGTCAAATGAATTTTGTGAGCCATTATCTCACTTTTTACTAGATGAAAAAGTAGCATTTGTTTAATTTGTTGAAAAATTTAAATGAAAATATTGGAAAGTTTTTATTTGAAGCAATTCTGTTTTTTAATACATTTATTTATTTTATTTTATTTCAGAAATCTCGCTCTCATCTTCATTCTTCTACGAGCTGGTCTCGAAGTGGATTCTGATATTTTAAAGAATAATAAAAACACTTGCTTTAAAGTGATACTCATACCATTCGTTTGCGAAGTCGTTGTTGGATCTGTTGCTGGCCACTACTTATTAGAAATGCCTTGGATATGGAGTTTTCTTCTAGGGTGAGTTAATAATTTACATTAACACCCTTAACACGTTGAATGCCACACTAATTTTACATGGCTTGATAGTCTGGCCAAAATGATTTTCTCGATATGTATTGCTTTAATTTCTTCAAACCATTTTAGTAACTGTCATGCCTCCATGTTGTGATGGCGCTGTCATCAAGGTAGATGTTTTAAAAAAGACAGAGGAGGGAATGCTCCGATTGAGAACGGATGTGAATTGTTTAGGTGTCTTGGTTATATTAATTTTCTTCAAACTTCATCTTTTACCATTGTTAATAAATATTTCTTTGTGTTTTTGGGAAGCATCTGAGTGAAGAAGGGAAAAGGAGGAAAAATGTGCGTAATATCACAGTAACGATAATATAAAAAAATTAAAAGCATTAAAAATTTACTCGAATTATGTGTTTCTAATAATATTGGTTTCGCCGGTCACCGGTGACCCCCGTGGCGCTACGAACAAACTCTGCCGGTCACCGGTGATCCCCATGCCATTCAACGTGTTAAACAACTGAAGCGCGCTTCTTTGATTAGATTTCTTTGAACTCGTCCGATCGCTTTTCCTTTGTTTTGTGTTTATTCGAGATATTGGTCATGAATTGTAGAGCTGTAAACTTCATGGTCCTCATGGCCTACAAATAGTGGTCGTAGGGAGACTTGACTTAAAATATAAGCAATCATTCGATATGAGTCAATCGAATAATCGAGAAAAAAAATTATGTTAAATTTATAATTTTTCCAGGTCGATGTTATCAGCTGTTTCCCCAGCTGTCGTTTTGCCTGTTATGCTCAAAATGATGAAAAAGGGTTTTGGAATGGCAAATGGAATTCCGACAATGGTCATTGCCGTAGCTGGAATCGACGATGTTTTGGCTCTCACAGCTTTTGAGATTCTACTGGGAGTTACATTTGCTACAGGTAGGTATTACTGCTCAATCACAAATTTATATTAATTCTGTAATCTCTCAAGGTACTGAGCCTAATTTTACATTTTCTTCGCATTGAAATTTTTTGAACGGAAAAATGACGCAATTTGGGGTTCTTCTTGCATTTTCAAAAATAATACTCAATTTTTGAAGTTCGAAAGATGCTAATTTAAAAAGCAATTCCATTGAAAACATTATATTGCAAACTAATGTTGATAATTGTATTTATATAATTTGTGTTAAGAGTAAATATATCAGTTTCAAAATACTTTCCGGTTATTTATTTTTCTTCAAATTTTGAGCAAATTTTTCTTCAGAAAAAGATTTGAGCTTGAAGAGCCAATTTGTTTTTAATATTTTTTACCAACTAAATTACTATTTGTAGCATCTCAGAGAGTAAAAATAAATTTCTAAAAATGTTATGGCACTAATAAATTTAAATGTGCATGAGTGCATGCGTGGTTTGTTTTAAATCACTGTCACTAAGTCATCAAAAAAAAAACATGCCTAAACATCGGGTATACAGTTTAAAAGTCTTAAAATAGGTTTCTCGTGTACATATAAATCACTTCCAGCAAGATTTATTACCATTGAAGGCGTCACAGTAGCTTTTCCCAGAAATTTTTATTTCGAACCTTTCTGGAATTTTGTCAATTGTTCCAAACTGAACTGCGATGCCTCAGGAGATAGAGCGTTCACCTTCCAATGAGGTGAACTGGTTTCGAATAGCAGCGATGTCTGGTTGATACGAATTCCGCATCCGCCTTGCACCGACCACAGTGCTGACGTAAAATATCCTCACTGGTAGACGGATCATGGGTTAGAGTCCCCTTGCCCTCAGGCTAACCANAGATAGAGCGTTCACCTTCCAATGAGGTGAACTGGTTTCGAATAGCAGCGATGGCTGGTTGATACGAATTCCGCATCCGCCTCGCACCGACCACAGTGCTGACGTAAAATATCCTCAGTGGTAGACGGATCATGGGTTAGAGTCCCCTTGCCCTCAGGCTAACCAAGGAAGGCTCTCGTCTTCCTCTCCATGTAGCGCAAATAAGGGTTAATTCCATCAAAAAGTCCTCTACGAAAACAAATTTCTCCCAATACTTTATCCTGTAGTTCCCTTGTCTTCTGGATTAGGCTCAAAATTACAAGACTGCGAAGTTGAACATTAGTAGTCGTAAACCCGAAAATTGGATCGACTGTTCAAAGACGGTTATAATGTGAAATAAAATTAACCGAGTGAAATAAACTTTCGGGCACATCCTGCATTAGGTTTTTTAAATCTCTTATGCTTATAATTTTTTTTGTTCTTCTAAAATGTTTTTATTTTGCTTTATAGTTTTTAACTCGCTTAATAAAATTATCAGAAATATTATTAACATAATTGCTGGAAAAACTATTCTATTTCCAGGAACTTTAGCATGGACTGTCGCTCAAGGTCCTGTGGAAATCGTAGTTGGTATTTCATATGGTATCATTGTTGGGGTCATATTTTGGTATGTGCCCAACCCAGAGGAGGCAAGTATTTTTTTTATGTAGTATTGTTCTTATCTTTTTGTATGATTAAGATTGTAAAAGTAAAAATAAATGACAAAAAATACAAAATTTAGAATTATTTCGCCTCTTGTAGAAATGAGAAGGTTTTATGAAGATTCCTTTTTTAAAAACTTCAAAGTCACCAAGACATTTCTAAATATGCAATATGCGTTTTTTTTTGTGGAAAGCATGAGAAATTCCATTGTCTCCTGACTCTCAATAAGTAAGTAATAAAACAACTGAGCACATACAGTCCTCTAATTTTAGAATACAATGTACCAGGTACGAAGTAACAAAAAATATTAGGCTAAATTGAATTCAAATACTGGACCTGAAATATTACTGTAGCTATATTACTAAGCTATAGGAGCAGTAATAGTCATTTGTAGCTAGCTGTATTGGAATAGCTGGTAAGATATAATAGCCAAATTTAATATAACCCTTGGTGAAAATATTGAGGAAAATTTTTCCTATAGTAGTTTATATTTTTATTATTTTTCTACACAGCATTAAGTAAGAAGTTCTATGACTTTTTCTTTCTACTATTTAAATTTGATCTATTTATTTATTTTTTTCAGAAAAGTAAATCAACATTTCGCTTCATGATGTTGGTCTTTGCAGCCATGTGTGTTTTCTTTGGAAGTCAAGCTTTAGGTGCTGGGGCTGCCGGAGCCCTTGGGTGTATATGCCTCCCCTTTACAGCTGCCATACGATGGAAGAAAAAAGATTGGGATGATGAAGATGTAAGTACTTATAATGGATAGAGTTTTTCAATTTAATTCCTTGTAAACCGTTATATTTAAATTATCGGAAATTGGGGTTCGTCTTTTTTCTTCTGGACAAAAGAATTTTTCCCCATTATTGCAAAATCCTTAAGTGTGGCATATGAACTAAAGAAGAAATGATAAGGACTAACAAGATACTCAAATTGTCAAAATAATGAGAATAGAATGAGAGTCTGAAAATAATGAGGCTGAATTGAGCCACTGAAAATACTAAGGCTTACGTTATGTTCGACGTATTTTACTTGCAAAATTTGAATAATTTTTTCTATTATTTAAATATCTTAAAGTAAGGATTTTATATTAAAGAATTAAAAGGGTTCCTTGGGTTATTCATCCACTTTTCCTTCGAGGTAAATATCTTCCTTACCTGTACTATGCATGATTCTTTATCGCCTTACGAGATCATCGCCAACAAAACCAATAATTTTTATTTTTTGAAATGCCGGATGCTATTTAAGCAAAGTATGAAATAATCATCCTGATGAGGTTATTATGTAAATGATGTACATGTTACTGTGAATGACTGAAATCGGTGGTTCTTGACTTTCAACGGTGAATGTTGACAATCAAATTAGTCGCTTTGGTGAATGTCCGAAATATTTATTACTTCCGATTTGATATTAATTTATTCGTGGATATAATTACATTTATTCGATATTTTAATACTTACTGACGATAGATTAGAACAAACATCAGTGTAGGGTATACCGGGCAAATGTATACCGGGCAATGGCACTTGACCATTAAAAAACATCAGTGTTGGATATACCGGGCAAATGTGTACCGGGCAATGGCACTTAACTAGACCTAGTATGAATAGACCTCTGGTAAATGTCCAAAATATATACTAGGTCTAGTGCCACTTTTGCTATAGATTAAATATTTAAAAAAATTAAACAAAGCGTTTGAATCAATTTTAAACTGATAACGAAATTATTGATTTAAAATTAAAAAAATAATAATAAAAACTGCGCCAGATAAGAGTAATTGAAAGTAGTTGCTTTATAAAGCGCATGTGCGGAAAAAAAATTTAAAAAAAAGTTATCCACGTGCATCTAAAAGTGGATGAATATCCCAAGACACCAATTAAAAGTTGGCTAATATGAAATAATGTGTTGTGTTGTTTTATCCCACTTAATAGACCGTAATATCTAAATAAAGTCCATGAATTCATGCGATTTCAAATTAAGAAGATCCACTTCAGGACTGAACAGTTGGTTCTTCTGGCACCTGATGCAGGTTAAAATGTGAGAAGGAGCTGCTTGGCCACATTGCATTTAGCTTAGGCGACATGGGTGAAAGTACATTTGGAATTTTTACTCCTGGTAGGACGATCCAAGACGTGAAAGGCCATTCCTTTAAGCTCAACTAAAACAATGCACACAGAGGCAAAGTCAGACTTCAACTGATATGTGCCTCAAAATTTCCATTTTGTAGATGCACCCTTTGCCACGATTCGTCAGTTAAATATGAAACAGTAAATATGTAAATAGCATTGATCAGCATTTCTGTACGTTTAGTACATGGTTTATGAGCTTATTGGCCAAATAATAAACAGTGCATATAGCTAATATAATCGAAGATTTTAATTTGTATAGCTTTATTTTATAAATAGACACGAAAGAAGGAATAAAAGCAAAGAAAAAGTTTTTATTTTATTTTCCTCAGATTAAACAGATAAAAATTAAAAGTAAAAGTTTTATCTCATCGTATAGTTGTAGTCGCATATCCTATCACTGGCCCTGCCTAAATTCATTGAACGAAATAATAATGTGAAGGTCCTGTATTGCTGTGAAAAGTTTGAATTTTGCAGTTATATATTTTTAGGGCAAAATTTAAAAAAAGGGAAGAAATTGTATTTAAAGCAATTTACGTATTGTGACATAAAATGTCATTTTCATCTTTACTTAGCATATTTAAACTCTGACTTTCGAACTATTAAGAGTGCATCGTAGAAAGAGAAAATCCGATCATTCGACCAAATTTATTCAGAGTGTTCCTTTTTTTTTAACATGACTATAAATAAAGCAAAAGTTGTATGTGATTATGCTGCGTCAAAATAACGATAAAAAGTAAACAATAGTAAGCACCCAAACGGTTTTGGATCTATGTCTCTACACAATGATATGTGAATAAAAGCGAAGAAACAGATGATCCTGTTGCTTCTGTACCTGAATTGCCGTCTGCAAGAGGGTACACTTGTATCCTTATGAAATCAAACATACTAAAAATTATATTTTGCTTTTAACTGTAATTAGTTATTTTAAGCTAGGTGACCAGCTGGTTCACCTACTCGAGCAGATTCGCGGCTTCAAATTGATTCCGTTTCATTCGGCAGCATTACTCTGAATCTATGGCATCGGTATTTTAAAAACAAATTACTGGGATAAAATAAAAATCGCGGTTGCTTCCTCTTCATATTAGCCTACACCAGTGTTTCTTAAACTTATGACTTTTGTGTACCCCTTCTATTTATTTTTGTAACGCTGTGTATCACTAATAAAAAAATGAATGTATTTTCTGCTATAAAAAATTGCACAAAAGTTAAAAATCACATTTGGTTGTTGACACCACTAATTATTAACGGTTAACTGTGCAAAAAATAGCCAATAGAAAAATATGTAATTACAAATTTTAATCGCTAGCTTTATTTTTAAATAAAAGTTTTTGAAATTTCTGTTTGTTGCAAGATATTTCGCATAAGAACGCGTACTCTCGCTGAACTGTTCCCGTACCCCTGGGGGTACACGTACCACACTTTGGGAAACACTGGCCTACACCAACACAAACTCACTGCTTCATGGCTCCACAATATCCCTGCTACTTTTGGAAGCATTTATTTTTGCATTATTTTAGTCGATACATTTCTATAATGAGAAAGTATTACTTTTTTAAAAAAATATTTTAATTTCTACTTAAGTGCTACTTCTTTATTTATACTCCGTTTTGCTTGGCGTTATTCACTTGAGGGAGGGGTGTAACAGCGAATCTATACGTTCAGAAATATTTTGACCAGGACATTGTCCTTTTAGCATCAATATTTGAAGATGAGCTACCGAAAAAAACACCCACTATACTACCTGTTCGTAGCAAAATCTTCAAGCAAAATTTGGTATTTGGATAAGCTGATGCAAGAGGAAAAATTAAAACTAAAATATTGTCCAATAATAAAAATATGTAAATAAGTTATATTGAAAAGTATTTTCAATATTTTCTGACAATATATCGCGATAATTATTCCTATATCACCCAGCATTAGTGATCTCTTCCATCTTTGACCCTGTGCGCAAGTATCACGGAGAAAATCAAAATTTTTTATATTTTTAAAAATTAGTTAAAAATCGTACTATAATTATTCGTATTTACTTTTCTTTCGAATCTTAAAGGAAAGTTCATTGCTTATGTTTATCTTAATTCGAAGTTAATATCTATTATATATTCATGGATGTCACTACGTTAAAATTTCGAGAAAAAAAAAAGATGACGAAAAAGAGGGGTTTCTAAAATTTATTTTTTATAATATCTTAATGTCTCTTTTATAATATCTTACTGATTTATATTATCTTTTATTTTTCAAAATCAGTGAACGTCCTAGCAGCGTTCTTAGGCGTTTTTCTTTACTTCCAGAATCCCGTGGGTGATGCTTTATCATTTGTTTGGAGGATTATTGAACCTTTTCTCTTTGGATTAATTGGTTCAGAGATTAGGATAGATTACTTGCAACCAGAAACTGTAGGTAGGAATTTTTGTTTTAAAAATTCTGTTTTATGTTATTTTTCTTTTAAATTCTTTTTTCACTGTGAAATTTTCAATTTCAAAGAAAACCATTTATATAAACTGCAAGTTTGTCTGAATTTTGAGGCATTGAAGTGGCGGACAGTATTTTACTTTTGGCAGTTATTTGCCAAATGATAGCAATTTTAATTACTATTATTTAAATAAAATACCTGATAAATAATTATTAAACACAGTACAACTATTCTTAAAATATTTACTCTTCAATTCTAACGTAATTAGGTGTGTATAATAACGCTTAGAAACTAATTAGACACAACTTCTATAATAAATGTTTTAACGTTCCTTCAATTTATTATAAGAATAAGGTTGCTACGTAAATAAGATATTTAATTCTTGTAAATAAAGATCTTAATTCCTACTTAAGCAATAATGAACTAAAACTAACTTCCTAAGAATAGAAAGATATTTTGTTTCTTCCTTTTGTAATAATTAATAAAGAGGATTTCGAAGCGTTAATTGCAGTTTTCGATAGTTGGAATATTCTTTTTGATGTTGCTTATAGTTCTATAGGGACAGATGGATCTGCTCAGGATGGCAGTATCATCAGCATAAAGTGCTGTAATGATATTGTTATTATCGGAAAGATTTGGAAAATCTGTACAACAAATTAGAAATGAAACTGGCCCTAGCATAGAGCCTTGCAGGACACCCACCTTAATTTTTATTTTGGTTGAATTTTGCATTATTTACTTTGATGTTGAAGGTTCATTCCTAAAATATATATTTAGAAATAGTATTAAATCATCAGGAATTTTATATTTAATTAGTTTGTGGATTAGTCGCTGATGCCAGACTCGGTCAAGGGGTTTGGCCACAAATAGCATCAGAAGTGCGGTGGCCTCTTTGTTGTAAAATCCTTGTGAAATATTTTCCATAGTTCTAACCAGTTGTTTTGTAGTTGAGAAATTCTCTCTGAAACCAAACTGTTAATTTGGAAGGAAGACTAAACACTTTACTTTACTACTTGACTAGACTTACACTTTAAACACAAACCTATGTTGCAGTCAATAATTCGGCAAAATCTATATTGCAATTAATAATTCGGCAAGATGGTGAGCACTCGCGTATAAATTTCCATCTTAATTCATTTCTAGTCCCAAAAGCATGTGGAAATAGTTATAAATTGTTCATTAAATGTTATCATTTGACAAAAGATTTCATTGTTTGGTTTTTATTTAAGTTGAGCACTCTTGATGTTTTCTGTTGCATTAAAATTGTGCTACTTTGTTAATTAATAACCATCTTTAATATGGGCACAACCATAATTCAAAAAAATTCTAATATTTTTAGGTCTAGGGTTAGGAACCATGTTCGTTGGATTAGCTTCCAGAATGATTGGTTCGATGTTTGCTGCTTACAGTGCCGGCCTTACCCTCAAAGAGCAAATTTTTATCACATTCGCTGGCATGCCAAAAGCTACTGTTCAGGTAATGTCGAATAATTGAATTTTACATTTATTCCATTTAGCTTTCTACTATTGACTGTTCCGTAATGACGCGTGGTTTTTCTAGTTTTGTTTTTCATCTTTATATTCCAAAGGCAAATTTGCGTATTTATTTATTTATTTTTTTTTTTAAAATCGATTTCGTTATTTTTAGTCTCGTCTGGAAGAATCTTAAGAATAGTCGCAGGCATAAAACAAGTTGATTTTTTTTCATTTTTTATAATTTTTGAACCTAATGAAATCTTTTACAATTATCAATTTAATTTTACAGGGCAGATAATTCTTTGTTTATCTAGCACATACAATTTAAAATTATAGTTTTGTTTCCGATTTAAGACAATCAAACTGCGCTGCTTTTCTTAGTAAACAAGCTTCGAATTACACCTTTTTTAAATAATGAAGGGTTTCAAATTACGTTATACAATAAAATTAAATTGAACCACGTTATCGTTCAAGGTACTCTTTACATTACTCAACATGTATTTTAACTATGGACTGAAATGGTTTATGCTTTCTTTATTTACAGTTTTAGCTAATTTGAAGATATTGTGGTTCAATCATGAACAGAAAATTTAAATGAATTTTACTTAACACACCGTTTGACAAAAAGATGTAAATATTTGTATTCGATTTTATTTTACGTTTTGACTAGTTGTAATTTGCAGCTAAATACTAATTTACCTAATTTATTAGGAGAAAAAAGTCAAAATTTCCCAATCAAAATATAATCTAAACTTGGGACGAATTAACCTTATCTAGAAACCTTAGTTTTTAAATGGTTGCATAAAGTTTAATAAAAATGAACTGTTGCAAAACACAAATATTAATGATTTATTCTTTGATACATCATTAATATTTGTTTTAACAAATATTTGTGTTCCAAGTATGCATCTGAAGAATGTATTCTTAAATGCATAATTAAAATCGCAAAATAGCTTGTTTCAAAAGAGTATCTTCCACCGTCAGGCAGTAGGTTAAAAAAAAACATCCTTCTCCTGTTTGATAAGAGAAAGTTCCTATGTACCAAAATGTTAAGTTTTGTGTGTAATTATATTTATGGTGCGAATAGAAAATCAAAATAAATTGCATTTGATAGTACAGTGAAACCTGTATAAGTGACCACTTGGCTACAAAATAGCTTGTGACCAAAAATGACCACAAAATAGCTTGTTTCAAAAGAGTATCTTCCACCGTCAGGCAGTAGGTTAAAAAAAACATCCTTCTCCTGTTTGATAAGAGAAAGTTCCTATGTACCAAAATGTTAAGTTTTATGTGTAATTATATTTATGGTGCGAATAGAAAATCAAAATAAATTGCATTTGATAGTACAGTGAAACCTATATAAGTGACTACTTGGAGTGCATTACTTTAATGCAGCTGTATCCAAATGGTGTACCGCGGAAACCTAGGGTTCCGTGGAAGAGTTAAGGGGCTTCGCGAGTTAGTACTTTTTATAACCAGTGATGAGCTTTGAAACCTCTGATTATATTTAGATTCAACCTATAATTCCTGATTTATTTAATCTTACAGTTGCCTTTATGAAATCATTTCAAGCAAAATGCCATTTTTTTAAAAGAAAAAATATTTTTAATTACTATATATTGAGCAAATTTTATATACATACACAAGCATTTATAACATATTACATTAGTATTTCTTATCGCGATTTTCAAATCAAAATAATACAATTTCATGAAGAAATGTTTTCCTAATAACTTGATAATTTAGTTTATAGCAGCCATTTATTCGAATATATTCATTACGAAGCAAACCAAAATTCTGTTTATTTTTAAATTTTTTACTTATGTATATACACCAGAAACATATTCATAACTAGACTAGATATAGCACAAGGACTGCAAATTTAATTTCCAGACATATAACCTAATTTAAGATTATTAATGAAAAAAAAATATTCATTGCCTTAAATATTTTGAAAATAGTCTTTTATAGGTTATAACGTTTACAATTAACTTAAACTTTATTTATAAAGTTAGAGTTCCGTCGAAAGAAAGTTGATAATTAAGGGTACCGTAGCAAGTAAAAAAAAATTATAATTATGTTTAATTATATTTAAAATAAAATATATATTAATTAGATTTAAAGTTAATTATATTTACGTTAAAATTTTTACACATGCATTTAAAAGCAAATGGATTGGTTAAAAAAAAAAGATATATAATTTGTAAATGATGCATGCTAGTTATTTATTACAATTTCTTAAAACATCTGTACTCAATATACAAATAAAAATCTTGACGTTTTCTAATTATATTTGTCTTTAACATTTTAAAATTTATTTTGCTATACTTACAAAACTCTTTAATAGTTTTCCGATGAGGTTAAATAAAAAAGGAGTTTAGGTTAGCTTTTATTACTTTTTCTCAACTTTGGGGAAATTTCAATACTTAACAGCAAAGAAAGTTTTTCCTGGAATGCTTATGAAAGGTTTAGAAATCAATAACAATCCTAGACAAATTTAACCTAAGTTAGTTAACATACAAGATTGACGAGTGGTAAGATGCAAAGGTACCTTTTATTATAGGATAAATTCAGCTTTTGTTAATCGAGGTTAACTTAACGGGTTTCACTGTAGTATTAAGTTTTGTCAAAATCGTCGTTAATAAGATTATCATTTAAAACTTTGGCAAAAGATTGAAAATGAATGTGTATTACAACTTCTGAAGGATTGTTGCTCTCTCCTATGTGCTCTTTGATTTGTCATGGGGTAACTGGATAGAATCAGATGCCTTTCCTCTGAACTACTTAAACGACATGGGTAAAACAAAGTGATTGGATGATCAGAGTTTTAACTCTAACTGTCAGACAAGGTTAATGGAGTAAGATGGAATTAATTAAATAAATCTACTCTGTTCTTCCTTGCTCTGATAGTACCTTATCCAACATTGATTCTAAAGAGGTCTACTTCATGGATATCGTCTTCATCAGACTCTATGTTGCATGCTGTTTAAGACGCTTCCTTAAAAAAAGTATCCAATACCAAAGGTTTATAGCTGACTATGTATGTAGGCATTTTTTTTTCTCACCCTGATTCTGCGGTTTTAGGGAAAAACTTAATCACAGACTTTGTTTTTTCAATTAAAGTTAAATTTCATATTCTCATTTTTTTTCTATTTTTATCTGGCAATTCAGCGGAAATGGATTCTGATGGAAGCTAAAAAATTATTAGTATAAAAGAATAAGATTTAAAATTTTCAAGCTCTATTTTTTTTCTCTTAAATTTGAAAATGTCAGATAATTTAGTTTCTCCTAAAAACCTCAGAATTGAGCTGTTTTAAACATTGCTTAAATGAGTGTCTTTTTACACATTTCTATAAATAAAATTGTGTTTTTCAATAAATTAACAGAAACATAATGGTTTAATTAAAGGGTTAAGTATTTTTGACGAATCTTCCTTACATCTTTATTTTGCCATGCATCCAGCAAAGCTTTTTCAAATTCTGATAACCTGTAGTAAAACATCAAAGCATAACTTTTAATATTCAAAAATTAAGTTAAATGAATGAAAAAAAAAATGGTATGTTCAAGAGAAAGAAAAAATCATTTTTCTCAGCAACAACCAAATTTCCCACATATAGGATCCACTGTTCTGTGAAAGTTATGCTTTTTAGGGCAATATAATAGCATTAATATTTGATATAGTTGCATAATAATAGGTTAATTTACTGTATAAATCTATATACTGTATATTGCCACTATATATTGATTGCAGACTTTTCATAATTCTGCTCAATTAAAAATTTTTTATAGTACACTAATATTACCTAAAAAACCTATCAAATTATCTACAATAAAATATCAAACATGTTATCAACGTCGTGTAAATAAAATAATAAACATACATATTAATAATTAATGCTGATTTAATATAAATTTATCAAAAGTGCAGTTGTTAATGTTTTTCAACTTTTCTTATCACTTGTGCAAATTTTGTTTTGTATAATTCTTTTTAATTTAGTCTTACTTAAGTTAAAAAATGGACAAATTATGTTTCCCATAGGCTGCCATAGGTCCAGTTCCATTAGCAATGGCTAGGAAATTTCAACTGGGATCTGAAATTGAACAGTATGGTATTGAGGTATGTTTGTAATCCTAGTGATTATAATATTGTTAAAATATTACTTTTATTTATTTTTTAATAGAATGAAGATTTAAATTCCTATAATTAATCACGATTAATTTATAGGAATTTAAATCAAATCACATGTTAAAATAGCAAGTTCTACATTTCTCTCTAAAATATATTAACTAATTTACTGTTCGCAATATGAAAAATATGTGCTAAGAGACACTTTAACCTGTGACAAGATTAAAAAATCGCATTTTTTATACTATGACTAACTATTTAAATTCTTTTCAATGCTGTTAAAATATTTTTTACTGTGTAGCATAAAAGAATTAAAAATAAAAAAAGAATTTGAAGAGAAATAATTATGTAGAATACTTTGCAACTTTAAATGCTATGACTAAAAATTGTAATATAAATGTACTAGAATAAATGGAAGGAAATAAAGAGTTTAAGCTGCAAAGAAAACCGATTTGTAAACATCTATCAAAATGGTCCGGATAAAAACTTGTGGCCATGATAAAATCTTAATTTTATTTATTTTCCTGAAAAAAAAACACATTTTATTAAATGTATCTAATAATTCAACGAAGAAAGATAAACAGAAAATAACTTTAATGCTCAAATTACAAAATCATCTCATAGATTGTTAAAAAGGAGTTAGTTTATTGCTGATAAGATCATTTTATGACGATCAAATTTTGGGAGCTGATTTAAAATAAATAATTTAAAAATTTTAAATATGAAATCATAAACATCAAACAAAAGATTTTCGGAATTTTTTTTTCCCAACAGCTTTATTGAGTACTTAATTGATTCAAGTAATATTTTTAAATTTCATTTATGAGTTAACAATGAGTGCCTAGTGTTGAAAAATGTTCCAAAAAAGTTTAAATTTAATATACATCACAAATACTTACTTTTGAAACAACCTAGTACTTAGTTTTGCATAAGGCATAAATTTAATAATTTTTAAACATTAAAAATAATTTTTAAAGAAAAAAACATATTTAACAGTACAAATCAAAAACTTTCAAAGAATGTTAAATCCACTAATATTAGATTCAGAAACTAGGAAACCATTCCCACTGCTTGCAGTTCAACTGGTATGTCTGATTAGTATAAATCAGACATTCAATGACCAATATATATTGACCAATACATTTCAATGAAACATCAAGCCTGATATTGCTCTACAAACATAGTTATATAATCGAATGTAGCCATATAATATTTTCCAAAAATGAAAATACATTAATTAACTCTTAGATGTTCACACCAAGAGAAAAAGCAGACTGCACAGTCTTAACACTTTGATCAATTTAACTCTTTACCAATGGCAGAAGTGTTGACTACTTAAAACGTGTCCTTCTGAAATACACTCCCAGAAATATCATCACGAGCAATAAATAATTTGATTGTAAAATCTAAATATTTTGCAGATTCTCACTGTAGCAGTTCTTGCAATACTTATCACTGCACCGCTGGGAGCAACAGCCATAGCTGTGTTGGCCCCCAGATTACTAGAAGCACCAGAACCAGCTAACAAATTAGATGGAAAAATAAACATAGAAAACAAAGAAAGTACAAGCATCACCATGTATGGAAGTGTACACACAGCTAACTCATCCAAAGAAGATGGTAAAGTTTCAACCATATTTAAGGAAACAACTCAAGATGCCAGGCTATGACATTAGCCACCGTTACCTCTAAAGTACCTCCGAGAACATTCATAGCACAGATTCACAAAACAAGTTGCATTCATAAAGTATATGCTATCTAGTTTGTGCATTATTACTTCATACTGAATATAGATTTCATATGCATTAGAAACTCATTCTTATTATAGATTTATATGTATCGAATTTTATTTTCCAAGATCAAATATAAATTGAAATTTGAAATATGCTTTAAAGATTCTTTTATTTATTTTACAAGGACATATAAAGGCATGGACAGATAAAATTTAACTAAGAACATCATAATAATCAAACTCTTCCCAATATGTTTTCAAAAAAGAAAGATAGCAATCTTAAAATAACTAATATTACTGCCTGGAATATGCCTTTTTAAAATATAAATTGCATTTTCTTGAAATACTTTTTTAAGTCATAAAATGATTTAAAAAAAAACAACAAAAAAACAAAACACAAATTTAATCTTTAAAACGGACCATTCACAAAAGATTTTATCGTAAAGACACTGTCTTTCATTCACAAAATTAAGCCTGCCTCCCGGTGAGATCATGCAAGTTTGAATCCCAGTGATGGCTGGCACCGACCACATTGATGAGAAGAATATCTTCAGTGGTAGACGAATCAAGAGTTAGATGGATTCTTGCCGCTAGATATTAACAGTGGGAAGTTTTCCTCTACGTGTAACTGAAATGAAGGCTAGTTCCATAAAAAAGTTCTCTATGAAAGTAAATTTCTCCCAATGCTTGATTCAGGAATTTCCTTGTCTTTTAAATTGGATTCAAAATTACAACGATACAGAGTTAAAACATTGCTAGTCTTTAACTCAAAATTGGGTCAGCTGTTCAAGAATGATTATAAAAAAAAATCAAATCCAACTTTCAACGCACAAAAAAATTTTCTTTCCTAACTTTGATTAGTAAAGTTTACAAAATTCTAGCATCTTCACTTTATAAGAAACCCATTTTTTTTTCGCGAGCTAAATATTTATCCAAGATGTAAAATTTTTCAATAAATATTCTCCCACCCACTACATACATCACAGTGAGGACAGATATTGGGGGAGTGCAAAATCTGGTACACACCTTTGTTACTCACTCTGAAAAAAACTAAGAGGAGAGGAGCATTCTATTTATTCCGTTTGGTTATGAAATATCAACAACAAAATGGAGTTTAAAAACTATAACTGGTATGATTTAAAAAAACAAACAAGTAATTTAATTTTATAAAGTAAGCAAAAAAGGTGTTCTGGACTGTCTTTAATATATACTGTAAAAATCTCTTTACACACATTACAAGATCACAAATTAATATTTAATTACTAATGAACTGTCATCACTTACACTGAACTGTCATTGTGAAGAGCTGGCGTTTGAAGCCCACCTAGCTTCAGATAAATTTGTCTGGGAAGTAAAGGTCACCTGCGCACAGTGCTGACCACAATGCCACAATCAAGATGTTGGTCACGAAATTGTGAAGTCTTACCTCCACGTTTTCCCTTCCCTTGCCCACAACAAGCTGTTGCAGAAATGCTTTACTTTTACTAATGAAGTCTGTTTTCTGGCAATTACACTGATTTTCGATGTCTTTGGTCCCCACTTTCCTCAGTAATGATTTGTAACACTTCGATGGTGTTTTTGCATTTTCTCACTTAAATATTTTACTATATACTACTGTATATATATCCACCTGACGGGAACATCTGCTCCAGCACCCCAGAGCCCAAGGTCAAGAAAAATGAGGTGGGCACAGTAGACCTTGGCCCTCTATGGGCTGTCGCGCCACTGAGTTTAGTTTTATATATATATATTACAATATTATTGCATTTTGGAATTAGCTATTTTATTTTATTCNGTTTATTGAATCTGATTAGGAGCTGAAAATGGATAAAATATTTAAATACGAAACATTAATTTGAGAACTGAAATAAGAGAACATAAATTTTAAATACACTTTATTCAATGAGATATGTGAAAGACTAAGTATAAAACATCACAGTCAGGAAGGTGTAATAATATATCAGTTGAAACAGTTGCTAACAAGTTGGAAAAAAATAGATTTATAAAATGACTATCACAAATATAAGTAGAAAAGTATTATAGTGCAGCTTTGAGCAAAGTTCATGAATAACAATTTTTAAAAACAAAATAAAAATAGTAATAAAAAGATTTCTATAACATTTATTATATAAAATCAGATCTAAACTTCACGATAGAACAACTTCAATAAAACATACTAATATAAATTTTTTTTTTTTAAAAAACATTACTGATCTTAAGAAATAATAAATAAATAAAGTTTAAATAAATTGTCAATTTTGAAAAAACTAGCAAAAATAAGCACTGAAAGTAACACTGAAGCAAAAAATATTTTTTTGGAATACAATTTATAAAAAATGCTAAGCAAATATTAAACATCTATGGTAGACACAACTGGAATATAAATTAGAATACAGCAGAATCCTGACAATCTGACTCTTTGATTAGCTAATGCTCAATCATATGACTTTCAATGCACGTTAAAAGCATCCCATTATTATTGCTGATATTCTAAGTTACTGTTTCATTTTTGGACCTTATGCCAATAAACTAACTATGTTGTGATCAGATATTTGTATTTAAGAGAATGAGACACAGAAAACAAAAAAATTGCTAATAATTTTTTTCATGTTATTGTATCATTATTTATGAAAAAAAACAACAACATAAAAATGGATATTTATTAGACTTAAAAAAGATCCCAAATTAGTCAACCATTTTTAATTTCTGATTTAGTCCTGGTTCCATGCATGTCAGGTAATAGAGGCTCTACTGCAGATGTTATATATGTACTGAGTGCTTAGTTCATGAAAGGAATGCTAAAATTGGCACATTAAAATACATGTAAGTGATCCTTCATTGCAGTATTGTCTATAACACCAGAGTATATAGACATTTGAGAAGCTTTTTTTTCTATAAAGACTTTTTTTTTTCAAGCTATTTCTAATTTTTGTTGTTATTACATATATTTGAATGAAAAAAATATATATAGTTGCAGAGATTTTGTCATTGTTTTCCTTTTATGGTAACTTTTCTTTTTATGGAAATTTATAAATCGAATATTACTTTAAATTTAAAACTATTTACCAGGTTTCTTTTTATGAGAAAAAAATTGCGCACATAAAAATTTATATAATTTTTGAAATGATTTCTAATAAAATAAATAACATACATTATGATTTATGTAAAATGGGGCCTAAAAAGTTTTAATGCCTGGAGCATGTAAAATATTTGATTGATCATGAATTTTTTACCTCTACATGCTTGACTGGGCACATAAATATTGATTCAAAAATAATATAAAACAACAGCTGAGCATTTTCTAAAATTTTGATGAAAATTGCTAAGATGCTGGAAGGGGGAGGGGGCACAGAAAAACTGTACTTAAGGATGCGAGAAAAAATCCTTATAAAATAAGAATTGCCTTTTAAATTTAATTATAAAAAATAGGAATTTATTAAACAATGTTAACTAGTCTTTTTTCATACTTTGATCCAATCACAATTGGACATTGTTTTGCACGCTCATAATAATTGTCAATACTTAGCATTTTTTATATAAATATTACATTGTTAATTATGCTCTGCATTATTCAATCAATTGGTCCAAAACAACCTATAAACAATGCAAAGCAAGTCTATCATTGCTTATTCAGACTTAATACTTCTTTGTAAAACTACCTAGTATTTCATAGGTAGTAATACTTAGTCCTTTTAATTAAAGTTATTAACAAAGCTATAATTTTGCTAATGTCATTTTTTTTGACAGATAAATAGCAGGTACATTTATAAATTTCTATAAGCATTTAAAAAAAGATGTTTGGCATATAAGAGTTTTAGTCTAGCATGCATTTTATCTGCTAACATTTCCGGTGACATGTTACTGACACCATGGTAGTTTACAAAATACATGTAAGAATAAATATTTATATTTGTCGAGTGGGGCATAAGATGATTTTGAGATCAAATGCTTTGGCACAAATAACCATATTATTACATCTGAAAATAACATTATGTAGATTTTATGCTTAATATAACAATGTTTACATATGTACACACAAAAATGACTTATTTCTAAAAAAGAAATTGTAACACTACTAGATTTAAAAATTAATCTAATTTTTATCACAAATTAATAAAATTTGAAGTACATTTTATTAAAATATAAAATTTCATTATTATTATAAAAAGTGCAGTCAACAATAAATATTTATTTTTGCAATTATTCAGATTTAAAATTTTTTTATTTATTGTTGAAATTTTTTGGTTCAAATTCATATGTATACTGATATATACATAAAAAAATTGCTTAAATTTACTTTTCTACTTATTATGTATTGGAACATTTATTTAAAAAAAATTAGGATAAATAATGTAATAACAAATAATGTTCATTCAACATTTGGTTAAGTCCTTTTAGTGTAAGAATAATTTATAAAATGTTATAGTGTGTGTTTTTTAAAGCATATATTTAACATTTTTAATTATTACGGATATTCTCATGTTATTATGTACTCAAATTTGGTTCTCTTTTTTAAACCTAGTATTATTGATAAAACATTTTACCAGTATTTTAAAAACTTACTAGCATTTGCAAAGAGTGCCGAAACGAAATGATTATTATTATGTATTATGCATTGGAATATTTTTAAAAAAATATTAGGACAAATAAAACAATTTATAAACAAACATAATTCCTTTGATTATTTTTTAGACCAGTATTGTCGTGAAAATATAGACCAGTCAAGTTTGGAAAATAATACTTGCCAAATACTATTACTTCAACATTACATACTGTCAAAACAGTATTCAAAATAACAATACTAAATCAAAAACTACTTTTAAAATAACAAATCAACACATTTGTAAAAATATAGACCAGTATTACGAAAAAAAATAATTTCTCAATGCAAATACTAGTTCATTAAATGCAATAATACTTATTCCTGAAGAAAAAATATACATAATATTTAAAGATAAAATTATTTCCTTTGCACATTTTCAGACATATAACTAAGCATATATATAAACAAAGCTTAAATATATATAAACTTAAAATATGAGATGATAAATCCAACCATATAAATTGAAAATTTCCAGATATATTGAAAGCAACTTACAATGTGTGAACATTAAAAAATGAGCAAAAAATAAAATAAATTTGTTTAGCTTTTAAAACAGTGCAATATGTAAAAGACCTATTTGCAATATTATTAATAGAAAAAATCTATTACTTTCAACATAGCTCAGTGCAAATGCTTATTTTTGATAAAAATGATGGAAGAGTACTTTAAAGTTTGAAACATGCCAGTTACTAGGTACTAAGCTTCATAATAGTTCAGCTTTGCAAAAAAAGATGCCAATTTTTCAAATTGTGCTGAACTAAAGAAAAAGTTTATAGCAGGAAAACATCCATTTGATACAAATCTGAAATATAAATCCAAAAACATGCAATTAATCAATAATAATTTTTAATTTGTACAGATTTTTAAAAACATTATATATCCCATTGTGGTTCTTATATAACCAAAGTAAAAAATGTCAACATCTAACTAAAAACTTATCTATTCATAAGCTAAATACTGTATAGTGACTCAATTAATATTAAATATTTAATTATGCATACATTTATAATTAAATGACATAGTAACAACAAAAAGGAGAATTTTTTTTTATCAGAACATCACAGGGTATACTTTTGTTAATGTGTGTTGAGTGCAGAAATTACATTAACAAATGTTAAAAAGTGGTATGCAATATTGTATAAATTGGATGCAATTGGGAAAGCAGGATTACAAATAAGAATTATTTCAGTTCACAAAATAATGTAGATTTTAAACAAGACTTCTTTTTAATGAGTGAATACTAGGCACTTTTAATGATCAGGAATAGTCCTGTTTACTTAACAAAATTTACCTTGGACAAAATATATGTATGTATACTTTTATTGGCATGTATATTTATCCAAATTTAATTTTAAAAAAAAGGACATTAGGAAAGAAAGCAAAGACTAGAATTCGTTAATTACAACTAATAATGAATATTCCACATTTAATGGAATTGCTTCACATTGATACAAGACTTTTTTTATTTGGTGGAAACAAGACTCAAGAAATTATTATATGAAGTTTAGAAATATTTCAAATAACATTTCCCTATAATGAGCACAGAAGAGGTGAATTTCAATTATTTAGCTAAAGCTAATAGGTGTAACTGACATTGGATTTTTAATTTTATCAAAATCATCATATTATACTTATAACTAGGGCCCTATAAATTATGTGAAGATGCGAAAACCCGCATAATTCACAACTATCCGCATAATTTTAAATTTTCCGCGTAATCGCAGCATATCTATATAATTTTTATTTTTCAGCAAAATGTATTCATTTACCAGATAAATTTCTCCTTAAGGGTTTTTTTTTTCAATTGAAATATATCTTCTTTTTCAATTCCAAGAATCTTTTTGGTCAGGTTGTCAGATCTTTCCAAGAATCTGACAGAGGTGGACAAATTCACAGGAAACTTTAAGATATTGTTCAAGCATTGTCCTGCAAGAAAGCGCCGCTATTTAAAGGTTTTAACAGATGACAATAAGAAAGCTAAACTTTGCCCAGCACCAGTAAAGACACGGTGGAATTCCTGGTTTAAATCAGTGCAATATCATGCTGAATATTGTAATGTTTAAATAGTATTTTTTAGCAGTGAAATAAATCTTACTCTTGACACTGCTTGTCTCAATCAGTGCAAAATTTTTGTGGAAAGCAAGTGCGTTTGCAAAGACTTTCAATTCATTGCAGAACACGCTCAGATATTAATGGATACTCTTCTCTTTTTCGAAACATGTGGTGTATCTATTCACAAAGCTTACAATAAGATTTTTGATCTGCGGTCTAAACTTCGATGTAATTCTCAGGCATCATACTCACGAAAAGATTCACGCAACGTATTTCTTCAAGAAGTGTTTCACAAAAACAATTGCAAAGTTGAATACTTACTACTCTCCAGAACTAGACGTATTCAAAAAACGCGGGCCCAAGTTTAGTCAACCTGCATTAAACTTCATGAAAGCTGCTCGAGTTTTCGATCCAGAGCAGATAGTCAACCTCAATATTGAAGACGACGATGTATTCAAGAATATTCCAGGAATGAGTGGTCGAGATATAAAACTCGAGTATGCTGCTTACAAAGAATATGTAAAAGAATGTTCAAACCAGGACTTAGATTCAGAGATAGTCTCAGAGAGATTTCCAGAACTTACAAAAAAAGCAAGACAAGTGCTCTCAGTGCTTCCTAATTCAGTAGATTGTGAAAGAGCTGTATCCTACTACGGCCAAATTTTTACAAAACAAAGACAGAGTTTGAAAGAAAACGCAGCTTCTGGACTAACTTCTGCATGCATAATTTTTAAAAGACACCGCATCCTTGCCGCATAATTTTTAAAAATCGCCGCATTCTAGACGCATAATTTATAGGGCCCTAATTATGGGGTATGGCCCCCTCTTACAGATATACAGGCCTTGCAGCGAGATTTCATACTTGAAATAAGGTAGTTTATCATTTCCTGCGGCAATTGACCTGAATTGTCTTGTTTCAATTTCATACCTTCCGACACCAACGAGTGTTACGCACTATCATACGTGTGTATTACAATTGTTGAATAATTATTTGTTTTGTATTGTATCAATGTATGTACATATCGAATTTCATTCAAATCAGTCCAGTAGTTTTAGAAATAATCGACCCAGTCTGCAAATTCTCTTAATTTCTTACTCCAGTGTTGTTATGTAATAGATTACGGACAAGGCAATGGAATTTTCATTAAAAATTTAGAATGCGTAAAAGTTCCTTAAAAAAATTTCTTAGTTGTTCTATTAACCCTTAAACCAATACAACTTTAGTAATAGAAGCTCGTAATTCGAAATTCAATTTGAAGGTTTAAAAGAGCCACTAGACAGCTTGCGATTCAAGAAAAGTATCCTCTTTTCAATGTTAAATGCAAAAGATACCTCTGAGGCAATTCGAGGATTTGATAACCCCCTCTCTTTTGCCGGAGGGGGGGGGGAGAAGGATCAGAGAATGGGTTGCTGTGGAAAATTGAATTTCTGGAGAGTTTTTAGAATGGGCTGCACGTTACTCGAAATAGTCATTGCACTAGATCCACGAAAATCAATTCATTTCTTTTTCTGGGAAAAATATTCATACAGAGAAAAATAAATGAATGAGGTTTGGTTGACCAGTGGTAATAAACATTACGCGACGTTGCACAGTGGGCCAGTATCTAAGGTTTCGTGGCCAAAATTAGTATTTCGATAAAATTTGTTTCAAAATTTGGAGGCTTTTATTTAGGGGTTTTTTATGTGTAGGTAAATTGAATTCATAGTTAAAATTTTGTAATACACTAAAAATACCAACAAAAAAAAATGGCGGCTGAAATATGGTGAGTAAAAATAAAAAAAATACTACAGTACGTTTAAATAATTAAATATATCAATGAAAATATAATAATTTTCGAAATTTTATATTAAAAATGAAAAACAAATTATATTTCCGAAGTAATATTGCAAAATAATGCGAAAACATGAAGAAAAAAAAACATACTTTTTGTTTTTCAGTATATTTAGTCCACCTTTGCAATACGGGAAAAATGGGGCAGGTTTTTTCGAAAGACGAAACATCAAAGAAGACGACAAAAAAAAGTTTAGCTAATTACCTCACGAAACTTTTCGGAACTAAGTTTCGAAAGTCATTCAAACATTGTAAAATGTAAAATGATAAGATATAAATAAACTATAAGTTTGTCAAGAGTATTAACTAATCCAAAAAATTTAAAAATTTTACTGTAATTTCAGACTAATTACTCTGATAAAAATGTAACAGTAAGGTGAAATTCCTATATAGATTTCTGAAATAAAAAATTAAAAGTTACATTAANAATGAGTGGTCAAGATATAAAACTCGAGTATGCTGCTTACAAAGAATATGTAAAAGAATGTTCAAACCAGGACTTAATTAGATTCTGGAATTCAGAGGTAGTCTCAGAGAGATTTCCAGAACTTACAAAAAAAGCAAGACAAGTGCTCTCAGTGCTTCCTAATTCAGTAGATTGTGAAAGAGCTGTATCCTGCTACGGCCAAATTTTTACAAAACAAAGACAGAGTTTGAAAGAAAATGCAGCTTCTGGACTAACTTCTCTCCATTTTAATAAACTTTAATAATTGTTCTGATGTAGAAAATGGATGTACAATACATAAGAAGGTAATTTAGTTGAAATCTTTACTGTATTCATTGAATATTTTTTTTTTTATTAAAACAGGAAAGAAAGTTGAACTTTTTTAAGTGATTTTTTTTTTTCAGTTTCAATTGTTTTCTGGGTCATTCGCAACCTGCATGCATAATTTTTAAAAGACACCGCACAATTTTTAAAAATCGCAGCATCCTAGCCGCATAATCTATAAAAAATTTCCGCATAATTTATAGGGCCCTACTTATAACTAAACATTTCAGAAAAATATTAAATATTCTAAATCAAATTCAGACAAGACTTAAAATTAATAATATGTACATAAAAAAAAAACAATTTTTTTTCTGTGAAAATTATAGATGAACAAAATAAAGTATTTGTTTGATAAGTATTAAATGTTAAAATATTAATTTCAATCTTTTAGTAACTTATATAAAATTTTAATAAATTTCTTACCATAACATACTAAACTTCATCTCACATTTTAGCCATTATACAGTTTTCGACATCTTGGATATTTGAATCACAATTTTCTAATTTTTGTTTACTTTTCCTTCTGGTTTGAATATCTTTAGTCAACAATTTAGGGCCCATAATAGAAATGAAAGCAGCTCCAATCGGTGCTGTCATCATGATAGAAAGTACAGCACATGTCAGAACCTTAAAAAATTGAAGATTTAATTGAAGATTTTGATAATAATTGCAAATCTATGACTAAAGAGCACAAACATTACTTTACCTTTTGAGCATAATCCAGCATTTCAGGGCTGCCATTATTAGTAACAACATAATCCAAGGCTTGGGATCCAATAGCCGCCTTTAAAAGAATTTCAAGTTTTTATAGGAAAATAAAAAGAATTCCTATATATAGAATTTTAACAACAATAATTTATGTATATTTTTATTTTTAATAACGGCAGGCACTGAACTTCGTCCTTTGCCTTAGAAGATGCCGGAAGCATTGCTCATTTATCGTTATCCTGTGGGCACCTATGAACCTAAGTCACGGAGGAGAGCAACATTACCCACGCCACAAATACCCGTTCATAGGGTGGGCCACATTCATACATCAGAAGACAACAGAGAGAGAGAGAGAAACATCCATTCCCAGAGCGGGATTCGAACCCGCAGCCATTGGCTTCGCAGTCAGGCACACTAACCACTCGGTCACCTGGCCAACACAATAATTTATATAAAATTGTTACATGTGCTAACTAAATATGTAGACCATATTTCATGATAAGTTTATCTTTTTTCTTTTTCACAAAACAAGATCCAATTATAATCCTTTTCAGAAATTCTTTACTCAACAAGAAAAAATATGTAAAGAAATATAAATGATAAAATTTAGACTGAGGGAACATGATCGATACATGCAGCATTAAGAATTTGATAAATCCTTTATTCCCTCATATTGTTTGGGCATACATTTCATTTCAATATTGCCAAAATGTTTATGACCTTTTACCACCCTGGCAGTTGTCAAGAAGCTTAATATGAATGTTTGCTGGTATTTTTTATTTCAACATGAATTTAAACTCAGTTCTTAAATTTGAGACAGCATCCTAATATGTATATCAATGTTAAAAATTAATGTTACAAATATCAATGTTATAAATATTAATGTAAAAAAACCTATTAATGTTACAAATATTAATGTTAAAAAAATACAAATTAATGTTATAAATGCTAACATATTTATGCTATAAATCTTAATATGATAATAACATACACCTGCATCGTTTACAAATAATTCTGAAGTTTAAAATATTTAAAATAATGAAGAAAAAAATATTTATTTTAATCACAGAACTTTTAAGCAAACACATTTATTTTAGTCATTATTATATAAAAAAATGAGACAGCAAAAATATAATATTAAAATGCAAAAAAGAAATACCATACATTGTGGAGCTTAGGTCGACTTTTCAAACAACCTAAACTTTAAGAGAATTGGGAGGTAAACTTGTACACCGGTAATAAAGATGAACAAAAGTTAATTATGATTTATTGATGCATTGAGGTAGATAGGAATTACTTTGTATCAATGCAACACTTTTGAAAACTATTTTTAATATGTTATACACAATTAATAAGCATTTTCTTTCATCTTATATTCTTTACATACAATGTTTTTTTTTTAGAGCTAATGCTTTAAATTAAATTCTGAAAAAAAAATTTAAAAGTTAAGATAATTTATCCATGAGTGCTTCAGAAAAAAATGAAAACTTTTCAAGTATACTGAAAAGCTACATATTTAAAGATTCATGAACATCAACTGCGTCGGAATCAATTATGTTTGTAGTGTGGTCATATGGATCCTTCCCTGTAATGGATATCCTAGACACAACAACAGTACAAATTTTATGAAAGCAAGCACTGAAGCTCATTGTTCACAGACGCTCACTTTTTGCATAATTTATATGTTTTTGAATACCTGTGTAATTGAAGCATTAATCACAATTTTTCATTTCGGTGTGATTTGAAGTGATCATTACTTGATCACTTCAAAGTAATTATAAAAAATAACAATGTTTTCATTAAAATGTATTATTTTATTCTTAACAGAAAATATTTTCTGAATTGTTAAGGAAGAGGGGCATTTTAATTTAAAAAAAATCGGAAAAGAGATATTAATTGGAGAAATTTAGTCTACTGATTTTCCTCAAAATTGATTTCAGGAGTCCCCAGGAATAAAGAGTGGCACTCTTTATGATGTCTACAGGAGTAATAATCAACATCTACACATGTCATACTAAAAATTTGTTGCCTTGTTATCAAAAAATGGGGGATGAGTTGCATATCAGGATATATGGCAGATAAAATAAAAAATTTATATCAAGAAAATCTCTCAAGAGTTTCAAATAAGCTATTAAATAATATAAACATATTTTGAAATTTACCTGAACTGTTGCTTTTGGTAACCAAGCAAATGCAATGAAAATTTTTTCCTTAATATTGAACCCTCCCCCAAATGTAACAAAAGCTGCTGTCATTATACGGAATACTAAACCAATAAAAAGAGTCAGCATGGCAGCTCCTGGAAAATACAATTGATTTCAATAAATTATACAATTAAATGAAAAAATAAAGAAAATATATCTATTTCTAAAGCAAAAATAAATAAATAAATAATAGCTGACAGCTAATCAGGAACTAGAATATGAGTTTTATCTAATTTCAAATTAATTGCTTAGTCATTCTTTAGAAATATAGCATTAACAAAAAAAAAAAAAAAAANGGAGGCATATTTAGCTAGTTTATTTGTAAGTTAATTTATCTTTATCTTTTTAACTATTTCTATAATTTATTTCAAACACTTCAATTTATGAATTAAAATATAAATTATTAATGGGAAAAAACAGAGAAAGAGATAGATAGATAGAAACTCTGGTTTAATTTGTGTTCCATACGACTCAATTTTTTAAACTAGCAACCAACAGAAAAATCTAAAAATTCAAGGTGAATTGAAAATAATATTCATTTAATGATAAAGTGAAATATAAAATAAAAATAGGAATTCATGATAGAAAAAATAATTTTTCAGAAATCACAAAAAAATTATAAAACTATAGATACATTACCAAGATTAGACTGTAAATCTCCAACAGAAACTTCAGCACCAATAAGGCTAAACAAAAAAGGTTGAAGCAAGCTCCAGAGCAAAGAAATCAATTTTTCTATATAATTCTACAGATAAATTATGAACTATAATTAATATCAGGAGCTGATTAAAGAAATATAAAACATTTTAACAAAAATAATATATCAATTTTATATTAATAATAATGAATGATAATTACAGATTATTTGCTAAATTATAAAATTAAATTCGCACTTGACGAAGTTGAAAATTTATTTTGATTTAAGTAAGAAATTATAAGAATTTATTTTATCCAGCTAAATTTTTACCTTAATTATTGTATAATTGAAAAATATCATTTGTTAAATTACGCAACACCTTCAGAAAAGTAATAGGAATTAAAATATTTAATAACAGTTAAAATATTTAATAACAGTTCTTAATGCAAACAAGCGAAATTACAAAGTAAAGTAGAATTACAATTCAGAGTATGTCTTAAAAATGTATGTTTTAGCTTACAGCGTAAAAAGGAGCTACAACTTTTATGATTTTTGTTGGAAAAGAAATTATATATTAATTCTGTATTTCTTATTTTTGAGATCAATAGTAAAACACAATAATTTAAACTTAATTTTTTTTATTTTACAGAGTTTTTATAATTATAATTTATTTCATCTTGCTCAAATTTTACCTTAATATTTAACTGATAAATATCATTTGTTAAATTAGTTAACATCTTTAGGAAAATTATTAGGAATTAAATCATTTAATACAAGTGCTTATTGTGTTTAAGCAAAATTACATAAAATTACAAAATAAAGTAGAATTATAATATCTTTTTATCAGTGTGCATCTTAAAAAATATATTTTTGTCAAAAAAAAAACTTACAGATTAAGAATTACAAATTCAATGATTTTTGTTGGAAAAGAAATTTTACATTAATTCTCTATTTTTTATTTTTGAAATCAACAGTAAAACAAAATATTTCAAACGTAATTTTTTTTTTTTTTTTAACAAAATATTTCAAACATAATTTTCTTTTACTTCTAATGGAATTTTTATCTAATTAAAAATCTAAAATGAAGTATTATTAAAATATAAAGCTTACTTTCTTCCAAAATTAATAATTCAAATAAACGTGATTTTAATAATGAAAAGTAAATAAAGCAAATAAGGAAATCAAAATCTCTTTAATTATTGTTTAACTTATGAAAATGAAGCTCAGAAAAATATCATCACAACACAAAATCAAAAAATGTTATTTAATATACTTGAATGACATGACAAAATAAAGAAAATATAAAACTAGAAAATTGAAAAGAAAAAAAAAATTCTTCATCAATGCTATAAATTTTTTTTAGACTTAACTTGTTTTTATATAATCTCTTACTTCTTTTCAAAACAGGTAAAAATCTATTAACTTGAAAAATTAATGCAATTTAATATCCAAAAATAAGTATGAAACATGGCTGATTCAAAAAGTTTAATTTGACAAGAGTTTACAAACAAACTCTTAAAAACAACACTACTTCCAAGAATTACATGCAATAAAAAAATAATATTTGAAACAAAACAAACATTAAATAAAATAATATTCTTTAATAATATAATTGAGTGTCTTAACAGGACAGGTGAAAAAAAATTTTTTTTTGGTGAATAGAAATGAGCGAAAACAGAGAATGGTTATGGGAACATTTTTGCTTAGATATTAGCTCTTAATATATAATAACTGGAAAACAGAAGTCGTGACTGATAACAGAAGCCATTATCCTGCTAAAGTTTAAATTTTTACCTCATAATTAAATAATAGATAGTATGGTTTTATTTCACAATCTTATACAAAATCATGACATAAAGTGATAAAAAGTTTGAGAATCCCTGACTACATATAAGTTCTGGAGAAATGAAGGGATTGGACCAATACAATGATAAGCCACACTTTTTGTAAGGTAACATTTCTATAACAAACTGTTTTTTAAATTTATTTCTTGATGAACCAAAATAGTTTTTTGCAGAAAACACTCTTCAAAATATTGTCCCAGGTCCTTCAAAAATATGAATAATTGTGTAATCAGTATTAGTTTAACCATTGAAAACAATAAGCTACAGGTTACAGAATATGCTAAAATTCAAATGAATGCCCTAGGAAGAGACAGGAGTAATANGCAAGTTGCAATCGCGCAAACTGGCATTTCGATAATAGTTTTAAATTCTTGTAAATTCACTGCAAAAACTGAGGAAAGTCATTATAGAAAATAACAAATGTCTTAGAATATCTCGCAAAAAGAAATGATCCAATATTAGTTAGAGCTAGTAAGGCCAAACGCTCCGTTCTTGAAGTAAAAGTGCGAGCTTTGCGCCAAAGTGACGTCACTAGAGTGACGTTGGAGGATCGGCGCGGCAAGAGATACTTCAAAGGAGTGAACCAGCCCTTCTATTCTCTTTAGCCCTGGATTGGACCAATACAATGATAAGCCACACTTTTTGTAAGGTAACATTTCTATAACAAACTGTTTTTAAAATCTATTTCTTGATGAACCAAAATAGTTTTTTGCAGAAAACAAAAATATGAATAATTGTAAAAATATGAATCATATTTTGCAAAAATATGAATAATTGTGTAATCAGTATTAGTTTAACCACTGAAAAAAATAAGCTACAGGTTACAGAATATGCTAAAATTCAAATGAATGCCCTAGGAAGAGAATTTTCGGTACTTTACGGTAAGTCGGGCGCAAGCGGAAAGTCACCAAATAATTTAGACCCGTGCTGAAATAAAATAAAAATTCAAAACGATACTTTTTATTATATATATATTACATTGATTACATGTACCCCTCCCCCAGCACCCTTCATTTTTCCTTCAAGCACTTGCGATAGAGAGAGTGCCCCCCTGCATTCAAACTCCTTTTGCGCTCGTTGAGCAACTGCTAATGCTCAGTTTTAAGCCCATTATAAGGCTCGCTTCACTAGGCCATTTTATTTTCAAAATACCGCATTCTGGGAGCCAATTAAAGGGTCTGATGGTCGGCGGCAAGGCTTGCGTAACAAATTGCGTTAAATCACTAGGGATTCTGTTTTGTATATTGATTAACATTTTCGGTTTAGTCTTCAATGACGGCCGTTTTGTTTGGTTACTTCTGGAAATAGTGATAAAATGTCTCCAAAGTAAAAAGAGTTGGTGGCACTTGCACCCAACTAGCCAAAAAATACCAAACTTTCGAATGCATTAATTATTATGAAAAGAATATTAACTAACTGAGCAAAATTAAATCCTAAATTAACACATAAGAAAACTGATAAAAAGCATCATAATTTTGAATACTAAATGCTTAAAAACGTCGAGCCTAAAATGAATTTTTTTAAATACAAACAAAATGTGCAAATTTTAAACTTACAAAATGTTCTGGATCCTTCTTCCAATTTAAAGCTGCAACAAATGCTAATACTAAACAACCCATTGGACCAGCTCCTGCAATACCCAATTCTTTACTGAAAAACATGACAGTAGAACCTCCTAAGCACAGAAGCAAAATATGGTAGTACATCACCTGAAACTAAATGCAAAAACTTTGCAACAAACAAATTTTTTTTCTTAAAATCTCATGTTAAACAAATATAGAAAATACGAAAGCATGTTGCTGGCTTATAATGTAATAAAAATTAGTCATACATTTCCTCACGGATTCAACAGTTAAATTTAAAAAAAAAATTATCTATTTAATAGCCATTTTTATACAAAAAAAAGTAAAGTTTAGCAAAGAATTGAGAAATCAAGTTTGTGATGTTTAAAAAAAAAAGGAAAAACAATAAATAAATAAAATAAAGAAAAAAAGAGAAAAAGATAATAACAAAAATGCAAGAAAATAAAATAAAAGAAGTAACATAGTGGTAATGCTGCTAATTGAACATAATAATTATAGAAAATAAAAGTAAATTCGAAATAAATCACAGTAAAAAATAATATGACAACAAAATAATAGGCCACTCATCATTACTTAACATACGACACTAAAAAAGGTCTTCTCTGCATATTTCATGTGTTGCATTAACTAAATAAGATTGATGTAAAATATGAAGAAAGAACATGGAACAAAAATAAATAAATAAAAACTTGAAAATAAAAATTTAATAAATAAATAGAAACAAAGATAAAATACTTAAAGCAAAAGCACAAACTTACATGCTGTTGGATGGTAAGTGACCATATTAAGAAAGTAATAGTAAACTTAGATATAAAAAAACTTAGATTAGATTATAGAAGAACATAATTATTTTATATGAAGTACAATGCAATCTAGAAAAGTATTAATTTTTTTAATCAGTATAAAATAAATTACGAACTTTCAATACAAGAAATTTGAACAAAATTTCATACAAGAAATTTATACATTATCCAAAACAGTAATATCAATGAAAAATATGTATATAATAATTACATTTGTGATTACAGTTCATAAATTTTTTTTTTAAAGATGCATACATACTGGAGAACTTTCAAGGCTGGGCAAGCACCACAGTAATCTACCATATCCTAATCCAAATATAAGTCCACCAATTGGTTCAAATAAACCTTTTAAAACTGAAGAGACCAGATTATCTGTAAATATAACTTTAATCAATAACTAAATTACAAAAATGATAATAGATATAAATTAGATTTAAAAAAAACTTTTAAAACAAAATGAAAGCTATTATAAACATATGTAACCTTTAACAAAATAATGTAAGTCCACTAACTTAAAAAGTAATTAAAGATTAAAATATGTCAATAAATTTTATATATCAAGTTAAAATTACTATTAAAAACAATGGGATATTGATATTAAGAATGTTATCTTTCAGAAACCAAGGAATGGACAATGGTTTAAGCAGCTATTTCATACTTTAAACTTTGGGTTGGTAATGATAAAAAAAAGTAGATCAACACAGTTCAATAAAATGCATTGTTTAATATCTACTATTAAAGGCCAAGCGAATATTGTACATCACTTTAGTGTAACTAATTTTATGGTTTTCACTGTCTTACTTTTACATAAAAAACTTTACACAGAAAAATGATTACAAAAAATTGTAAACAAAATGTCAATAAATTTGGTTAAAAATAATCTACCAACAAAGGGATATTGATATTAAGAATGTTATCTCTAAGAAACCAACAATGGTTTAAGCAGTTATTTCATACTTTAAACTTTGGATTTTAATATCCACTATTAAAAGTCAAACAAATATTATACATCACTTTAGTGTAACTAATTTTACGATTTTCACTGTCTTACATCTTCATAAAAATCTTTACATAGGAAAATGATAAAAAAAAAACTGTTATTTGATCAGCAACCAATTTCTAAAGCTTAAAATTAAGTTAAAATACTTATTTCACTAATGCTAAAGATATAACTGCATGTGATTATGCTTTACACAAAAAACTAATGCATTCAAAATATTTTTAAGTATAGATTGATCAAATGACAATGACTTTGATCAAATGACACAAAGAGAGGCAAAATATCTAGTCACAAATAGAGTGAGATGGAAAGCTGTGATAGAAGCTCTATGCTCTGATTCCGAGTGAAGAGGAATATGTATGTATAGATCAAATGTTGAAATTTTTAATGGCTGATTTTTGTATCGCCATTTCTGATACTACTTATCACATCAAATAACATCTCTCAAAAAGAAAGAAAACATTGTTTGCATCATTGAATGTTGAATGGAAATTGTATATTTTGAGGTATTATTCATATTTTTTTAGTGAATCAGTTTCAATTTTACTACTAGTTAAATTTTTATGAGAATGTAATAAATCTGCAATCACTTATTGGCACAAATTTTTTTTCTTCCTTATAAACATTTAGTTATCAGCTGGGCTATAACAACAAATTAAAGAATACAGAACAGCATTTTTCTTTTCTAAATAGCTTGACACTAAAAAAAAAAGAGCTGTAACTTTAACACAAATAAATATAATGAAAATCTAAGCACATTTCTTTGCATTTCAAATTATGTATTTCAATTAAGATTGAAATGGATAAAATGTTTAAAAGTACATTGAGGTTTATAATTAAAATTGCAATATATGTAATAAAAAAAAATTAGAAAACTTTATTCTGAAATATTTTAGGAAATTAAGAGATTTAGAGGAGGTTGACATTGTCTAAATTAATATGATTCATTGGATAGAGAAATATGCAAGGAGAATAGATAACTGAAAATTGAATTTTAGTCCCATTGTAACACAATTATAATACATGCACAAAAAAGCATGCTTTTTTATTGTATAGTAAATTCAGTGGAATTTTTGAATAAAATATAAGCTAAATATTTCTTCTAATCTTTGTCTATTCATAAATTTAACAAAAGCTAATAATTTCATAAAATAATTGCTACAAAATCTTACCATGCGTAAGAGCTATAGTAAGCATCACAGTGAATCCTGTTATAGCCAATATATCATCTATAGAAGCAGCAGCAATGACCAGTGTAGGTATTCCTTTCTTAGTACCACGCATTTTACTTTGAAGATTCAATAAACCAGGAACAATGACAGCTGGCGATACAGCAGATATAACAAATCTAAAGAATAAATACAATTAATCATATAATAATGCTCACATATATGTAAATACCAAAAACTGTGATAAGTTTCAGTTAGTCTGAAAAGTAGGGGAGAATGATGAGCCTCGGACTAAAATGTTTCTTGAACCAGTGTCAATATTTGTCTATCTGATGCAGTGGATTCCAACATTTTTTGACCTATGCCCCCCTTTCTTATGGCTATAAGACAACTCCCCTCCCTTCCTTCTAAAACTGAAAACATAAAGAAGCATTTATTAAGATTTCAGACATATCTTATGTGTTTTATTAAAAAAGAATTATATCAGGTTGAATAAAAATAAATGTTCATACACATGATCTAAAACTAACTATATACATAGTAGTAAAATAAAATGCAAAATATAATTTACGTAACAAAGCGCAAACTTAAAATGTTAACATCTAGTATCAGATAAAACAGTTCAACTGGACTGTACTCAGAGAAAAACCAGTAAATCGATTTTTAAAAAAAAGCAATTCATAAATTGGATGTTTATATAAAAAATAATTCAGAAATTTATGAAAGGAACAAAAAGCAATATAATGTTTGTTAAATTGTGCTTAGAAAAGATTTAAAGAGTATTAAAAAAAAATTTTTTTTATTAATTTTTCAGTACTTTTATTTTTGTTTCATTGTCTTCAATGTACTTTTTTCTGACTTTCTATTTTAATATTTTTTTTATTTTTTTCTTAAGAATTCGCCATTTTTGCGATTTTGTTAATGCTTCATAAGAAGTAAATAGGGCAGTGACGTCATTCCCACCTTGAGACACATAAAGTAGCTTTAACAGAGAATTACCTTCTCGTTGGAGCCCTAACTCTAGTACATAATGCTTCTACATTTCGTGAAATTAATACCTGTAACAACAAGTATCATCATCTGTATTGTGAAACATTTCAAGTTTTGCAGGCCTGAGCTGAAAAAAATTATTTTTTTTAGTTTACAGTTACTGAATAATTTTTTGAAATCAATATGATTGGAAAATAAAACCTTATAGCACTTACATTTGAAATCAAAACTAAGATGGATAAATAGCAAAATGTCATTCTCTATAAGATAAAATGCTAATTTTCTTAAAAGGAAAATAAGCTTCCCTTTGATAGGGCTAACAAAATCAAATAAGTGTGTGCTTGTAGTATTTTGAATCTGAGTCTGAATCTCAAAATAGCCCAGCTCAAGTTACATGCAACAGGTGCATCTGAAGGTGAGATAGCCCATAATTCCCAACAATTTAAAACATACTGGTTTTCGAATGATTTAAATTCATTGTCATTGGTAAAAGAACAAATATATAAATGATATTGAACATTAAATAAAATGAACAAGGTGCTTCTTTCTCTCTATTTTAACTTTTTGTTACGTTACTGTATCAGCATGAAAATTTATATGCATATTTCTCAGATGGCTTATATTTGAAAAATGTATTCAATAAAAACATATTGATATTACAAAACCTTGCAAGCAGTCATAATTCTTAAAATTAAAAAAAATAATTCACAACCAACAATTCAAGCTTTCAAGTAACTATAAAAGAAATAACCACAGCATAAATTTAAATACATACCCAAGCATTATAGACCAAGACCATGGTAATTGTAATAAAAAATGTGAAGCAACACCAATAGTTATTGCTTCAACGATACAGGGAGTGAAAGACAGTTGAAAAACTACTCTGCTTAATTTTTTTAATTTATCTGCATCAAGTCCTAAGCCAGCTTTGAGTAAGATTACAACCAAAGCTGATCCCCTAGAATAAAATGCATATGAAATGTATAGGTATAACTATTACTTATAAATATAAATAGGTTATTATCATTGAGCCTCATTACTAGAAAAATGATGGATTGAATAAGAACAACCTAGTAATCAAATGTATAAGACCATGTAAAAGTTGGATAGAGTGAAAGTTCATTTGTAATTAAACAATTTTTGCACGAAAAATGCAAATTTAAAAAAATAATAAATTGCTTTAAAATTAAAAAAAAAAGTTTAGATGCACAGAATCAAAAAGATTTGTTTAATTATATAGGTATGTTGACTTTTCGATTTGTAACTTAGCAGTAGTTTAGTTTTGCACTACTTAATAGATATTACAATTTATTTGCCTCGTTATCTAAATTTTTTGAAAAAAATCAAATAAATATAGATTTTAATAATTTTATTTAATTGGATTAAGGAGCATAAGCATCATTGTCATAAACTTTTGTATGACTTCAAACTCAGTCATACAAACTTCAGAAATGTAGCCTAACCACCAGCTAAGGCACCGATTTTCAATTTTTTGGGGTTTGCTTAATATTCCAAATTAAAATTCAAATACAATTAAACGTGTTGTACTTTTTAATAATTGAAAGATCATATAACAGTAATATTTTAATCATCATATTACAAAAATATTAAAATATTTTAATTTTAAAAATATTTCAATTATTGGAATATCTAGAACCACAACACAGTGTGTTCTTGAGGTAATTGAAAAGAACACATTTTACATTACCTTTGTTAATTTTTTGAATGCCACTAAACACCAGAAATAAAGTAATAAACTATAAATATGAGTATAAATATGTAGTTTTAAATAATAATAATAATTTAATATCTATACTAAATGATTGTAAAACTTGATATAAAATATCCATGTCTCTGAAAACTGGAATTAACTAAAAAAAATTATGTTAGTTTTTTTCTATCATTTTAAAATTAAAAGTTTGGAATATATACTTATTTTACTCTCGATTAATTTAAAAAAGCATATGAAATTTAAGTATTCTACTATCAGGACAAATTGTACAAGCAATAAAAGTACTAAGACAAGTAATGATATTCTTAGTACAAACAAAAATAAAATATATTTGCAACCCAACTGGAAAAAGAAACATTATACTGCTGGAAGAATTATACAAAAAATATATATTTCTTAGCAATTACAACTAGAAGTACAGTAGTTTTAAAAAACTAGCACTTATCTAAAAAAAATAAAGAACTTTTGTTAAGAATATTCATGTTTTGCATGAAATTGTACATAGATAATAAGTCTGGTTTTAAGTAGTAAAAAAAAGCTAGAAGGTGAATCAAGGAATTACACTATATAGACTCAAAACATACAGTTTCAATAACAAAAATAGCATAAAATCTATGCAAAAAATATATTTTTTAAGGATGTTTAAATTGTATGCTTCGTATATAAGGAAATCTGCAGTTCAAAAGTAAAAAGAATATAAAAAATGAAGGAGAAGAAAAGTACTACATCTGAAGAATATAGGCAACTGTCATTCATTAAGAATTATAAAAGTGATTAGATAAATTTCTAAAAAGATAAACACTCAAGCACTTTTGTGCTTTTTGTGAGCTATTCCAATCAAAAATATATACTATTAATAAGGCAAAAATAATAAGTACCTGAATGAAGCAGCCCATCTGACCGTTATATGGTCATAAAATGTTATGAAAGATAAGTTACGGAAGAGGAAACCAACAATTAGCATTCCTATTAAAAAAAAGCAATAATATATAAACAGCAATTAATAACAATTTAGTTTAGAAATAAAATAATAAAGTTTGTTTGATTTAAAATGAGGAATATGCATTCGAATATATCCCATTAAAATCTGGTTATATTAGTTATATCAATCTGTAAAAAAAATTTTAAATCCACTTAATTTGATAAAACTTTAAATTTAAGAGTTAAAAACAACTAAAAATTGTAAAATTCGTAAACCAAGCTATGTGACTGAAAGCAAGGCTTGGTTTAATGTGATTCCCTCTACACAAAACATTGCTCAGCTTTTGCTCATCTTATGTTATTTCCAATAAGCCATTTCAAATAAACATGCTGCTAAGCCATTTCAAATAAACATTCATTAAACTTGCTGTTAGTTTACAAACAATTAATTCTTAAAAAAAAAAAAAAAAACTTTTATTCAATCTAAGCAATCAAAGACAGGGATGGCGAACCAATAGCACGCGACACAATATTTTGAGCCTGCCACCCATCACAAAGTTCACTATGAAGCATCTTAACAATTAAATAAAAATTCACAATTAACAAACAAAAAAATAAAAAAATTTGAACCAAATAATTAACAATTAATGCCAAAAAACAATTAATAAGCATAAAAAACAAGCTAACAATAAATAACTAGCAAAAAATTAACAGCAATGCTGGAACTAACATCTTATAACCTAATAAAAGTTATTTGTCATCGAATCTGCAACAACAGAAATCACACTGATGTTACTTTAAGTTGAGTTACGCATATAACTGAGACATTGTAAAATTTATTATTTTTCATAGTAAATAAAGAGTTTTGAGTTGATAGTATTTAGTATCATTATTTTCCCAATAATCCCGAAGTTAAAATTATTTGACCGCACATCTATGGCCTCATTAAACAATTTTCTAGAAAAAATGGAACGTTGGCGCCTAAAGGTTCGCCACCCCTGATCTAAGAGAATGACAGTGGAACAAAGATTCATAAAGGATCAGTGTAGGATATTCTGCCTACATTAGACAGCATATTGATGTTTTCTTTTCTAAGAAAACATTTTGATTTTATGCGAGTAGAAATGAAATGTGTAAAAGCAAAAAGCTAAGTTATAAATTTTATATAGCAAATTTATTTTTAAGTCATTATTTTATTTATTATTATAAAAAATACAAGTAAATATATAATAAACATAAAAAATAACTACATCAAATTTTAAAATTTTTAAGTTGCATTTGGAAAAATCCAAAAAAAGAAGATTTTTAAAATGCCTTTTCAAAAGTGCTTTAATTGTTCATACACCAAATACAAAATTTTGATGATTAAAACACAGGAAAAAAAATAATTAAAACTACGAAATGAAAATTCTCATGTTAAAATACTTTAATAAATTTTTAAATTCATGATTTCTTTAAAAAAAAACATTTGATTTAATTCAATGATCTTTCTTAAATAAACTAGTTTCTGAAAGCTCAAGACCAAGTACTAAAGCAATTTTGTTAACTGAAACTTTTTAACAAAGTAATAAATTTTAAAACTATGAAAATCAATAAAAACGTAATTAGTAATGTTTTCTATTTTTGCTTTCATCTCTCTTCACTGCTGCACATCTTATTTTTGAATACGTTCAACTTTAGGCACAACAAAAAACTTTTTCTCAGAAGTTTTGATTAAAGAAATTGAGCAATAGAGCACTATACAATACTTATAACTATAATGCTGAAGCTTTTCAGAATCTCCCATCATCTGTTTTTTTTTATATAAAATAAATCTGTATAAAAAAAACTATCAAGAGAAATGGAAACATTAATGATAATAGACTCTTAATAGAATGTTTCATGAAGAGTGACATCATCAATGATCAGCTGCTTTTACTGATAGTGAGATCATAGCAATTTAAAAGGAGTTTTAAATATAATTAACTTAGTTGAATTGAAGATTAATTGAAATTTTTCAACATAGTTTTTCATGCTTTTTTCTTTTAAAAATGATTTTGAAAATCATGCATATTGTTTATTAATTGATTAATGATTTTTGACAAATTGCCTAATCAGGGATAAGTAAAAAAAATATTGAAAATGAAATGATTTTAATTTTTAGACATACCCCAGGATTCATGGGTATCAAATAGCCAAGGCACTTTGTAAATTATGTTTTCCAAGTATGCAAACATTAAATAATAAGTAAAATTATTAAAAATAAATAGATCTATTACTTAAAATTGCATTATACAATTTTTATATTGCGTCTATTTTTTTATTTTATTTATTAATCATAATTTATTATTTAACCAGTTAAAAGTTTATTTTGTTAAACAAAAATTGTAACAAAAATATCTAAAATGATTGCCAGGCCAATCGATTTCATGTAATTGGCCTTTATAATAGATAATTGTAAAGGAAAAATAAACACCAACAAAATCATATTTTAAAGTAGTAAAAAACTAATTGGTGTTTATAAGATATTTAGAACCATAAATAATAAATTCAAACACAATCAAATAAAAAAAGCAACTGTGTTTAACAGAGATACATCTGTTGACCATATTATCAGTGCGTTTTTGCATTGCATTCCTTATCATACTAACTACTTTAATATACAGTTCAGGGTCTCAAATCTGTAAAAAAAATTCCCTGTGTTTTCCCTGTAGATATTACACGCAATATATTAAGAAGAAACAACAATTACTGTGCTCTTGTGTGGGCCATATTGGTCTAACTATATTTGTTAGTTTTAATTGCTGGAAAAAAGCACGACATACTTAAATAATGCTATAGTAAATGAAATAGTTAAGTATAGCTGAAACATCTTCCTTAAATATTCCATAGATTACGCTTGGAGTGGTCCCCATTTTTTAAAAAACAAAATTCCCTGTATTTTCCCAGTTTGTAAAGAAAAAATCAAAATTCCCTGCATTTCCCCTGTTATTTTAGGTAATTTTTAAATTCCCTGTATTTTCCAGGTTTTCCCTGTGGAGTGGCAACCCTGTAGTTTGAAGCAGCTCTTTTTTATTTTTTAAGTTGTAAATGCACAACAGTTGTATGTTGATAAGTTGCTAAATATTTTACTCAACTAAGAATTCCAATCATTTACAAAGCACTTTTTCAATTTAGCATGAATAATAAATAAATGTTTTTTCTTTCTTCTAAAAGTTGGCACTGAACTACATTTTTCAGCTATCAGAACATCAAAAATAACAAAATAACTTTTTAACATATATAAAGTAAATTACTTACCAACTAAAGGAGGCAGCCTAACAATCTTAACAATCAAGCCACCTATATGAGCTAATAATGCCAGAAGAAATAATGCAAAAATTCCACTAACTGGAAAGATATCTTTTCCTATCATGCCGTAAATAGTTCCAAACAGTAATAAAATTACTAGTCCTTGAGTAAAATATAAAACAACTTTAGAAGAAGATGGAAACCATTGTTTAAACTTCCTTGGTATGCACTGAAATACACCTGAAATAAAATTAAGTTTTTAGAATAACTAATTTACATTTCATTAAAATAAAGAGAAAAAAAATTATTTGTCAAATAAATCTTCAAAAATAAATAAGTTTAAATTATGATGAATTAACATGAACTTCACTTTATAATTTCACTTCATATGAATTTCACTTTGAATTCATTTCAAGAAAATTAACATTCCATTTATAAACATAAAACAAGAGTAAAATTGTTTATTATTCTCAAATTATAGACATCAAATTTTAACCTAGGCATATATTTTAGAGATTTGGTTATAAAATAGATCATGAATTTTTCAAATTTTAACAGGAATGATGAAAAGCACTATAAATCTAGTCATTTAAAAATGGGTTTCTGTTTCTGAATATGGAGAAAATGGGTAATGATTTCTGAAAAAAAAAATTGAGCTCCACGATTGTTTAAAGCATCAGAAATATTAAGCGATTGGAGAAGTTTGTATGGGTTTTATCACTTTTAAGTACATCTTTCTTATAAAATAAAAAAGGTGGAAATCAGTTTGTTATATATAACAGCTCCAACATATATAGTGAAAAAACTGTTATTCTATTAAACAACATATCAATGTTATTATAAAACAAGAATTTTTGTGCCAAAAGCTCAGTGCAATAACAAAGCATTTATCACCAAAAGTACTTCAGGTATTAAAATGAATAAAAAATTTATATAAGTAAAAGTATCGTGATAATAATAGCATACGACAAAAAATCCTTAACATGTTGAGTTCCACTACCATTAATGATATTAAACATTCTGTTTAGTCATCAACAATTGAAAAAGTAAAATATGATATAAATTTAATTTACAATGCACTGCTGTATTAATTTATTGGGTAATTATGTAGTTTAAAACTTCTTTTTCTGGTTATTTAAAACTAGGTGTACAGTCAAAATAAATTAACTCAAAATGAAATATTTTTATATTGAAATAAAAAATAACAAATTGTCCATTTTGAGCTTTCTATTTATTTTATTTGTTGATTGACTCACATTTTTAAGAACTATGATCAATAATTCAATAAATATTTTTTAATTGAAAATATTGAATAAAAATTTAACTCATTATATCAGTAACAAAACTTTCCAGAAAAACTGGTCTGTTCATATTTTGCCTTGGCCGAGGTACAACAGAGATTTGCTTGCTCTTTAAAATTTTAAAGGCCCCTATTAAATCAACTGAACAAACAATTTAAAATTTTTTTTTTAAATTACAATGTTTTTCTAAAATGAGAAAACAACTTTAGACAGTGCCTACGTATATAGTTAACTATATTTAGTCAAAATCATTGGGGCTATTTTCACTGCATCGGGAGCAGTCAATGTGATTATATTGCACCAAAAGGATTCTCAATCTCAACATAAGATCTGCAAAGCATCTTTAAATATCTTTTATGGATAACAATACTGTAATTCTTCAAGATTTGATATGTTAGTAATTCAATAAAGGATAAAATACAACAATCAATAAGGATATTTAACTAGAACCAGTGGAAACCAGTTCATTATATAAAACAGCTCCCACATACATAGTAAAAAATTGCTGTACTATTAAACATAACAATGTTATTATACAACAAGAATTTTTGTGTCAAAAGCTCAGTGCAGTAACATAGTATTTATCACCAAACACAAGATATATAACAAGAGAAAAATAAATGATGTTCTCAACAACTGACTTCACAATAAGTTATAGCAACATACAATTTTATTTCTTAAACTTGCTAGAAAAATTTAACACATCATTGAACACCATATAGGAGAAAAGACAGATTTAGTTACAGGAATAATTTCATATTTTACTGGTTATATGAAAATTATGGCATCTTTCAAACTTTAATCTTCATTCCAAACCAGCAATAGCAAATATTGATAAACTTTTACGTATTTTACACATTCTTAATAAGGTTTGCAAAAGAAAGTATAATATTTTTAAATGGAAAAGAAAGTGAAGAAGTTATGGAGAAAAAAAATATTTTAGTAAATTTTGGAGTTTTTTGCAGTTAAAATCCAAAACGAAATATAAATTTATTTTTTTAGTATTCTTCATTGAAATTCATGACTTTTTGACAATAACAATGACTTTTTAAGAGAACTGTGGGGATTTAATTTTAGACTATGTCAACCTTCATCTATCAAAATGTACCTCAAAATACAATCAAGTTAACATGTCTTATATACTAGTGAATTGGTATTTAATATTTATAGTGGTAGTTACGCCACAGAACAAAAAACTAGAAGAATTACTTAAAAATTTCATCAAAGAATGACAAAAATTAAGAAAAAGATCACCTGACTTAGAAATCCCTGGTTGATTTTCATTTAAATACTCAGATTCCTGGCTTTGATGATGGGGGTCAGAGCTCATCCTCTTCCAATTAAATTAATCATAACAACTATAAATGTATAAAAACAAAGTTCACATGAGCAGTGGTTATATTTTAAAGTGTGACACAATTAATCAAAATATAGAAAAAGAGTGAACAATCAAATAAAAATGACAGTTACTTTTTGAAACAATATAGTACGGCAAACAATATACTAATATTTTATAGTTTTTATAATTAATGAGTGAAATAATATTGAATTTCTGCCTGGAAAAATTTGAATAATAAACAGGTTAAACATTGATGCACTTGTCCAAGACAATTTTTTACTGTTTCAAGTGATTATAGTGCATCAAAAATCATTCTTGACTTTTGTACAACTTTTTAAAACTAATTGAAATTGAAAAACAAGCTCTTTTTACTCTCAAGCTCTTTAAAATAACTATGAGCTTTATCTTTGACGAATTATTACTAATCTGAAAATTAATGTTAATAAATGTTTAATTATTTTTTTAAAAAATACGAAGAAATTTAATTGCAGTTACAATTTTTCTATTAAAATTATATATAAAAAAATATTACGTATTTAAGCAAACCTTTTAATTGTTTAGTCTGAAATATTAAAGAAAACTTAATAAAAATATAACAAAGTGGGAGAAGGAAATCATTCAGACAAAAATAATTTTCAGTTTACTATTTTAAGTGTGGCAAAAATAGTCCTGTAGTTCAAAATATTAGAAACCTTTTCTAAAATTTCACAAAAATTTGACATTTCAATTTTAAAATACCTATTATTATACGTAATATTGTAATAACTAAAAAAATTTAATAATTACACTAAAGAACAAAAAATAAATAAATTTCAGGATATTTCAAAGGAAAAATATAAAACTTTCATGGAAAACTATTGGCACTTTCTGTAATACGAATGTAAAGGGATGATATACTGATTTAATTTCCCCCTTTTTTTTTTTTTTAATATGATGTTTAGGTCTTTTTCCCTCTCACAAAATCTTAGCTCTGTGTTACTTCATAAATTTGAATATAAACCATTCATTGTAATTCTCTAAGTAATACTATTTTTTCACTTTTATCATTTAATGCAATACAATACATAATTGGGAAGTATATACTTATATGGTACATTGTAATATTAAACATTTACATAAAAATACAAAGATAAAAATCTCAGTTTATAAAAAAATTAGTTTGCAAAAATTTTAATTTATGTAAGACCTAATCTCTTGATTTCTTCTCTGTATTTAAGCAAATCTAGAATATCCAGCCATGACAAATATTAAGCAGACTTTTAAGTAAAAAAAAAAAAATAAAAACTCACATTTGAGTTAGATTGTTGAGATAATTATGTGAGCTTTATGCAAGACACAAAATATCTATATAGTTTATATAATAATAATAATACAAGTGTAAAAGTAAGTTGACTAAGAGAGTCACATCCATTAATTTGAAATATTGCAATGGAACGCATAGAAGAAAAGACTAGTTTCTCCATACCATGGTAGAAATTGTCTTTTCAGCTCCATAGCTAATTTAAAATATAGAAAAAGGGAGTTCAGGCAAACCTAGAGAGAACCATGAAATTCCAAATACTGAAAAGAAATTTTCTAAATATCAAAAAGAAAAAAAAATTAAAAGATAACATAGGATTATGCAATGAACAATGGATTTTCATATTTTGATTTTTTGTTTTTCAGCAATTAAACTTCATCATGGCTCACTCTAAGTTTAACCTAAACTCACTTTTGCTATAGTTTGAATTAGTTATAGAGATGAAAAATAATTTGGGAAAGAAGTTTCTCGCATGACATGGTGTCCTCTTAAGATTGAACTTACACTGTAAGGAATTGACTTCTTAAAATGGCTATTAAAAACAGTCAAAAATAAAACTTGGAAGAAGAAAAAATTTCGGAAGATGCTATTCAAAGATTTTAAATTTCTAAAAACACTGCAATATGCATAATTAAAATTTTTTTTTTAAATTCCACCAGAAGAAAAAGATTTTACACATGAGGCAAGATTTCAAATTTGCTAGCTGTAAACAGACCAAATTGTAACATTGGTAAATAAATTAAAAAAAAAAAAATAATAATAATTATAGTTTGAATTCACCTCCCCCAAAAAAGAAATAAAAAGCAAAATAAAACACACGAGATAAAAAAAAAAAATTGGCAATAATTTATCACCCATTATATCCTATTTTCTAAATCAAAATTAATCTAATATTAAATGATAGGAGACGGAATTGTGGCGAGAATAAAGGAAGAGAAAACGAAAAAATTCCATGTGGCTCTTTAAATGATTAATATAACTATATCAAATATTCTTTATATGACATACAGCATCTGTTTATTCCTTCTTCGAAATATCCATGCAACATTTTACATTTTATTTATTTCACTCATCATGTTTAAATTTCTCTTTTTTTCATATTGTTTTACCTAGCTAGATGTGGAATAAACTACATCAAGATTCTTGCAAATTTACTAGAAAAACCTGCTATGATTAGTATATAAATATTATATTAAAAACAAATGTGTTAAAAATAGAACATTAATAAAATCGAATTAGTGAACAAAATTTCGCTAATGAAATATCAAAACAAACTTATGCATATGAGGCGTTTCTGGCTGCCTACCTTTGCAAATTTAAAAGCTGAAAAGTCTGGTACAGTCTCAATTACTCATGATCGCAAGGCTCAAATGCGCCATCTGGGGAAAACATTGGTTCCATGTCTTCACCCTACCCTCTTTCTCTTTTCCTCTTCTCAGTTGTATAGGAATGTGCCACGATATTCTCTTTTCTTAATATATTTAATATTTACTTGCCAAAGATACTTTTCGAAATTTTTACGATGATTTCTTTTAGAACTACGTTCAATGTAGTCTTCAGTTCCGTATAGTTTCTTTACTTGAAAGTTTTAAATCCAGTTAAAAATCAAGACAGAATCAAACGTACTGCCTACTTCTATGACTTTGTACACACTAATGGTAAAAGCATGCGAAGTATTGTTCTAGATAGAGAGTTCTGCTCTAAGCCATTCGTAGCCTATTTCGATCGCCAATAGAAGGTTTGGCTCAAAGGTATATTATTCATAGCAACTGATCGAAGATTTTGGGTTCCGTTAACTCCCTTTAACATTAATCTAAAAAATTTAATTTAACTATTCTCTAGGTTGAAATCATATTTAACTATTCAAAGGGCACTTTCCAATATTCACACTTTTGACACCAGCTACATGCATCGACTATCCCAAAATGAGAACAGGCTATACCAGTGCACCTCACTAGTCGTTCCTATATTCAAATTGGTGTCAGGTTTCCAGATGATTTGGTCAATTCGTGTGATGTCATTGCCTTTATTTGTTTACAAGTTTAATTTTACTTCTGTCGAGAGCGTCAGCATTTAACTGTATTTTTGATAGGTAGGTACTTTTATTTACGTGGCACTAGAGCTGCACAATGGGCTATTGGCGACCGTCTGAGAAACATCCCTGAGGATCCGGAAACATGCCATCGCAATTTTTTCTCCTTTGCAGAGAGGATGGCTCCCCTGCTTTGGTAAACTGACGACCTGCTCCCGAAATCGAGCACTATATGTTAGAACAGTTTAACGACGACTGATACCGCTCCCTCACGGTCCCTACGCAGGCTGATCAAAGTGGTCACCCACTCGCTTACTGACCACAACCAGTTATGCTTGACTTCGATGTTCTGCTGGGGACCGTGTCTTAACGATCAGTCCTTTGTGGAACACTGTTCTTTTTGAATTGGTGATCAAAATGGGGTGTAGTGTTTGCGTAGAGCGGAACTCTCTACCTATGGCAACTCTTCACATTCTTTCGCCATAGCATGCGGAAAAAGAAGTACGTTAGTTTCCATCTTGATTTTCAAATGGAATAAAAACTTTTAAGTTAGGAAACTATATGGAAATGAAAACTACATTGAACGTAGTTCCAAAAGAAGCGTCGTGGGAATCTTAAAAAATTTAAACGAAAGTACGAAAAATATTAAGAAAGGGAAAAATATGGCAGCACATTCCTATACAACTTAGAAGAGGCAAGGGGGAAGGGTCAAGACATGGAATCGATTTTTTCTCCAGATGGCGAATTTGAGCGTTGTGACCACGAATGGATTTTATTATAAATAAAAAAAATTTTACCATTGATAATAATCTTTTTTGTATTAAATATAAATCTAATTATTAATATCGGTGTTGATGAATATGCAGATGAATGTGCCCTAGTGTAGACGCTGTTTATTGCAATGGATACCATAAATAAACAATAATATTTTATTTCTGATATTAGTGAAAGTTTGTGTTTGTTTTCAAGACTATGATTTGATCCAAATTTCGGTTCGTGTGTTACTTAACGTTATCTGATAGATTCGCATTGAAAAAATTTAGGCTTGTACTTTAGTTCAATAGACAAATCGTTTTGTTCCAATAAAATTTTCATAGATCAAGCAATTATAAAAAACATTATTCTCAAATTTGTGATAAAGGCGCTTCAGTATAAGTGATAGAATTTCAGCAGTAGTAATAGTATTTTAGCTTCGTATGCAAAAGCTCATGTTTATATATTATTACTTTAATATAAATCTCACTTAAGCATTCTCATCCAATGTATATTATTTTCAAAATCAACGAAACTAATCAATATTTGATTGTTAAATAAATTTCTTTTGTGTTATCAATTTGCCTCTTATATCCTGCCTATGCTTCATAGGCCATGAAGAAAGAGTATTGTCATATAGCTTTATGACAAATGATACTGTGTTAGTGTGTTAGATTTAATATGAGTTTGGATTTTAAATATAAATCCTACGGAACCAGCCGTTGAGTGACCTGCGTTGTTAGAACTAAGCTGTCAATGTCTTGAGCTTAGGATGATATTTGAATTTCTTTTTTACATTAAATTCTTCTGACAGCCACAACATATCAGTGATGATGTGGAGAACTGTAATGATCTGAAAACCCTTCAGCACTCAATGTCTTAGATTAATAATAGATGATACTACATAAAACTTAAGTTTGTGTGAAAGGATTTTAAATAAAACCCAATGGCAAAGACCGTTGATTGCCCATTTAAAAAAAAGTAGACAAATGTAGAGTATTTCCCCACCCGGCTCGCACCAACCACAGTACTGATGTAAAATGTATTCAGCCGCAGACGGGCTAGAGGTTCCTAGCCGTGAGGCTAACCGTGGGAGGTTTTCGTTGTTTTCCTATCCATGAAACGGAAATGCGTGTAAGTTACATCAAAAGGTCCTTCACGAAGGCAAATTTCCCCCAATAAGTGATTCAGGAGCTCCCTTATTTTCTGGATTGGGTTCAAAATTACAAGACCACGGAGTTGAAAAACAGTTGTCGTAAATCTAAAATTGGGTCAGCTGTTCAACTACGGTTATAAAATTAAATATAAAAAGCAGAATAGTTAATAAAATAAAATGTAGAACATTAAATTTACTGTTCAAAAAATTTTAACTAATGAATTTAAGGTTTCAAAATTTCGAGAGAAACTGGCTTAAATCTAAAAATTCAAAAGCTGTATCTCCTTTGAAAAACAAAACTTTTAGTTTTTACATTTTGCATGGTGCTGTCACATAATATGTATAATTGTCAGAAGTTAGTTAGAAAGGAGAGAACCCCAACAAGAAAGCGAAAAGTTTGTTTGTTGCTTTGACTAGGCAGGAAGAAAAAAAAAGTACAAGTCATGATTACCTAATATTTAAATGTTAGGTTCATTAAAAAGATCTAAACTTTCTTAGGGGCCAATAAGAATGCTATACATAAAAACATCTGAACATTCGTTGGGTGCCAATAGGAATGCTATGCATGAAAAGATCTAAAAGTTCTTAGGGGGCCAATAAGAAGGACATAGTAAGATCTAAACGTTTTTAGGGGGCCAATAAGAATGACATAGTAGGATCTAAACGCTTTTAGGGGGCCAATAAGAGTGCTATACATTTTACTTAAAATTTATACAGTAATTAGATAGATGCATACATTCGAAATTATTCTCGTTGTCCATTATTTTAAAATAGAATTAATAAAAATTCCACAAAACAAGCTGTAAAAATATTAATGGTAATAAACTAATTTGTAATAAATAAAAAAACAAAAATAATAATAATCAAGAAGATGTTTACAAAATACCTTTTTTCATGGTAAATTGCCCTAGACAATGTTTAAATGTATAAGNTGCTAACGTAAAATATCCTTAGTACTGCATATTACTAAGCATAAAATCATTATATAACTTTAAAGAGCTTAATGGAAGCATGTGTTGACAGTCAGTTTAGTTAAATAATAAAATTAAAAATAAAGCAGCTAAAAAAATAATTAAAAAAATAAGAACATGAAGTTGTAGTCTACCAAACATTTTTTTCATTAAAAATAGCCTTACTCGAAAAACTTTGCAAATTAAACTAATAACATTCTTAGCCTGAACAATAGCATTTTTTTAAAGGATTTTTTTCGGTGAATATTAATTAAGATAAAATCACTATATTATTTGAAGAGCTTAAGGGAAGAGTGCATTGGCTGTTAATTTAGTTACTTTTTTTTGGGGGGGCGGAGGGACAGTTTTCGAATGTATAAGGAAAAAAAAGTAAAGTTGTATCTTACAATACATTTTTTTCTCGTTACGAATTGCACGAATAGAAATTTTATTATTAAATTAATAAAGTTACTTTTAACCGGGAAAATGTCATTTTCACTTAATATATTTTTCTATTCTACAAAGTTATTATTTTATTCGTGATAACTAGTAAGACATGATTTGAAAAGATAGAATTTCAATGCTATTTATGTATGCCATGCAGGTTTCTTTTAAATAACTCCATATAATTTTATTTTCGAGATTCAGACTATAAATTAAGTAAATATTTGTTCACATCACGACAAATCCGACAAGAATTATATATTGGCGAGATTTCATCAGAGCAGCGCCGTTTTCTACTTCTCTTTATAAAACGTAAATGTATTACACGTTAAGAGCTCGCAAATAGAGGAATAGGCATGCATTCATTTGACTGAAGTTCAGCTACAATGTTTGACACATAGCTATCTTCAAAATTCGTTATAGAAGATGGTGCTTTATAAAAGTTGTTATAAAATAATAATCAAATGTTTTGTTTGGCATTGATAGGCGCTGCAGAAGGAACAAAAAAATTATTTTTTTGGAATATTTTATGTTTCCAAAATCATCAAATTTGATAGATACATTAAATCGCTAATAAATAATCCATAAAGCATGGCTGCCTCAACCGAAACTGGTAAGTCAATTATATATTTTATATTATAACAGCATTTTACAGGGAACAGGGGGGTTTCGAATTTTTTTTTTTTTTTTTTTTTTTTTTTGCCGCTTCTCTCCTTTCGCCTTTACTGTACAATAATCCCCCACCTCCAAGTCTATATCAGAAAATGCAAACATGCATTTATTTAGATTTCAGACACAATCAAAACGATTCGCAGTTAGTAATTAGCCTTAATAAAGAAACTAAATTACAGTAGTTTATATTCTTGAACTAAAAATAAATATTTCATAATAAAATAAAAATAAGACAAATAACTTTTATATTAAAAAATTAAATTTAATTGAGTAGAGGATAATAGTAGCAAATAAAGCAGACGTCGACAGTAATCAGAGAAAAAACCGTAAAAATGATTCGTAAATTGAGTATCCGTTTATTATATAATTGATATTTAGATCTATGCCAAATAAAACATTGTATCAGAAAACTCAGTGCAGCGTTGTGTTTGGGAAAATGAAATGTGAATTTAAAAATAGTTCTTTCTTTTCATTTATTTTTTGAAAATTTTTGTTTCCTTTAAATTGTTTTTCGATTACTTTTTTTCCCGAGTATAATTATCTTACGGAATTCGGCTGAATTCCTTAAGATAATTATACTATTATCTTACGGAAGATAATAGTATATTCCGGAAGATAATAGTATTGTTCCGGTATTTTCCATAATTATCTTACGGAATTCGGCTGAATGCTGTAATTCAGATTTTGCTTAAAAATAAGATTAGCAACCGCATTTTCCCCTTTAGAGATTTACCGGTAACTGGAAGGGGAAAATTATTCCCACTTGTTAGAAATGGAAACCACTATTATAAAATACATTTCTAATTATGAGTGGTTTATCCTTCTTAGCTGACTGGTTTTAGGACTAATTCTTACATGTAATCATATGGTACAGTAAACACAATTATAAGCACAAGACTGCTACCATTTCGTTCCTAGAAGAATTTGAACACCCATGATTCTTAACTACAAATTTTATTTCATTAGCGGAAAATTCTACCAACGATATTTCGTCCACTTAAAATTTTATCCTGGTATTTTGTCATCATGGGATCCTGTTTGACAATGTTTTAGCTGCGTGAGATTTTTCTTCTTCTAATTTACATTTACAAGATTCTGTCATAGATTATTTTGTCTGTGAGAGGTTCTTAATCACGTTAACATGTGGAATTGACAGGTTCCGGCCATTTTTTGGTAATTCTCTGTATCATATTTATCTCTTCCATTGAATTCAATTAAGAATGACAAAGAAAGATTTTATTTGTGGACCAAATTTAAAATAAAGGGAAGTAAAACGTTTCTGATGAAACTAATACATTAAGTCTTTACACATAGTATGCACATATTTCCTTTTTATTTTCGAAATGGCTGAATACCTGTTCTTTGCGGATGAATTTGAAAAAAAAAGGAGAAAATTATTAATTAATCAGTATGGAACAACGCAACGAAATCCTCCACAAAACTGAGAGGCATATACAGACGCAATTAATAAAGTTAAAATAATTTCAATTTTTTTAATTTATTATTATTTGTTTCGTTTCCTGGAGGCTTTATATTACTAAATTTTATTTATTATTTTACTTTATCCGACGTTGAACAGCCGGCCCAATTTTGGGTTTATGTCTACTAATGTTCAACTCCGTAGCCTTGCAGTTTTGTACCAATCCAGAAGACAAGGAAATTCCTAGATCAGTACCCCCAGAGGTATTGATTTGTTATGGGAACATGGAGGACTTTGCGACTCAACAGATTTAACGTGCATCAGTCACCATCTACTACACGGGGACTCTTCGGCCGACGGGGTTCGAACCCACGAACTCTTGGACATGGGCCCAGTGCCCTACCAACCAGACTATCCCGGGCTTACATAACTAAATAAGGCAAAACGGTTTTTGTGCTTCATCTCAGCAGAAGAGAGATTAAATGTATTCAGCATTACTTGGCATGATACTATTGCTCGCAGCCGGATCATTATAAACAAAATTTAGCACCATGAAGTAATTTTCTTCAGATATCGATTCGGAAAGGCAGTGAGCCGTGATGGCTCAGGGGTTAGAGATTTCGCCTTTTAATGAGGTGAACCAGTTCGAATCCCGGTCGATACGAATTCTGCTGACCATAATGCTAACGTAAAATATCCTTAGTGGTAGACAGATAATGGGTTAGAGTCCCTTTGCTCCCAGGCTAACCATTGGAGATTTTGGTGGTTTTTCACTCCATGTAACGCAAATGCGGGTTAGTTCGCTAAAAAAAGTCCTCCACGAAGGCAAAATTTCTCCCAATACTTAATTCATGAGTTCCTTTGTTTTCTGGATTGGATTAAAAATTACAAGACTACGGAATTGAACATTAGTAGCTGTAAACCCCCAAAAATTGGGCCAGCTTTTCAACAACGGTTATAAAACAAAATATCGAGAGGCAGTTAAACACTTATTTTTATAGTATCAGCATTAAAACTGCTTAGTATTGGTTAATTGCTAATTACCTAATATACCAATGTAATACTGCGTACATTTATTAGTGTATTTAGTACCTACTGCACTACCCTTTAACATTTGAGTTTAATGCGAAATACCTTTGTCAATGGTAGCAAACTAAAACTGAAATTTTAAAACCAAATTTAATTCTTGTATAAAGCAAATATAAGTTTAAAAACAAATATAATTCTTGAAAGACCTTGATAAGGACTTCACTATAACTATATAATTATTTCCTTAAGTTTTAATATACTATTTAAAACATTTATAAGTAGTGGTGGAAAAAAGTTCTTTTATTTCTAATTTATTTAAATATTAATACATTTTTCTATTTCATTAAAATATTAATCTTCGCTAACACGAAAAATTTTTTTCTTTCTGAATCTAAGGAAAATCCGTTGTAGAATATTTATTAAAACTACCCCAATTATAAAACCAGCAGTTTGTATTATTAGCGTCATCTGCGTATGGCGATTTTCGATAGTTCCCCTAATCGAATCCCTTTTCTCCATTAACTTTGGTTTTAAGAACAGAGCCTATGTTATTTTATTTCAATAAAATGCAAATTACAAATATTAATTCATCATTGTGTCATAACTTTAGAAATTTTAATATGGTTACGTTGTCCTCCCATGTTATCACGTAAACTTTGATTATTGAATTTATCAGACACAGCGAAAACATTAAGTACTGAGAGTAAGATCTTTTTTTAATCAAATGGAGCTATAAGCTAGGATGTATCGCTGATATTATCTTTAAAATATGTTACCTTGTCAAATTTAAAGACAAAAAAGTATGCACGTTGGTTGGGTCACTTATTATTTCAGTAAGGGAAAATAAAAATGTTGTCAAAATCTGATGAATCACTATAGGGGAGGCAAAATATAAGGCATTAAAAACTGTTTGATTGCAGCTTGAAACGTGAATGTCTTTCTGTGATAATCATCTTTGAACTCCTCTCTGTTTTTTCCGACAATCAAACAAGTTTTGATCTGCATTCCTCAATAGTGATTTGTCAGATTTAAATGGCATTTTAGTTTCGTCACTTTGTCACTGTCAATGTGTATGCTTTTCAGCTTTCATCACCAAGCCTAATAAGTATAGGCCACAAATAAATATTTAACTAAAAAATAAATACATAAATGAATAAATAAAAACCTTATTTAAAACTGACAAATCCCTATGGAGAAACGGGATACGCAAAACATTATAACTGTTTGATTCGCGGTTGAAAATTGAAGTTTTTCTAAATAATTGTTTTCCAACTCCTCTCTAGTTTTTCAGTCGTAAAGCATGTTATGTTTTGTTACCTAACCTTTCTCAATAGTAATTTCCTAGATTTCAATAGCGTTGTGCTATATGGACAGTCATTACGGAATAAACTATTAATTTCAAAAATAGATAAAATTGTATTAGCTCTCTACGTTAAACATTTTTTTTTATATTCAAAATATACTTGAACGATTGTGAATAAGAAACTAGGCATAAACAAAGCACTTAATAACACTTTGGCATTTATAATTCATAATTCATCTTGATTGTGTCAGTTCAGATAATAGAATAAATTCATTTGGCGTCGTTTCCAAATGATTCTGTAGATTACACGTGTTTAAATGAAAAGAAATTTCACAATATCTGAGTTTTATATTCAATGTCATAAAAATTTGACAGAACATGAAGCAATCTTTGTGATATGCATTGTAATAAAAAGCAGATACTACAATTTATTCTGTAGACATTAAAATAGTATATTAGTGTGCCAAGAATACATTGAAAAACGGTATCCCTCCTGTTTTAGATATGGTTTATCACAATGCACTTTCAAGGAAAAAAAAGTTAAAGGTCACAAAATTTGTTCTAGATTTTTCTAGCGTATATCGTAAACTTATTATTTATTTTGAGCTGCACGGTTCCTATGGGTTTGAAATATTGGTTGAAAGTTTACGTAGGACTCAGAAGAATTTCAATTATAAAACTTTCGCAAGAGTATTTATGTTTATAACACAAATTGAATTCTAAACTTTTGATGTATTGTTTACAGTTACAGAGAGGGTTCACAAAAATCAATTCGTCTTTAAAAATTAAAAAAAAAAAAAAAAAATGCAAGTATATTTACGATAAATCCAGTGGGGTTTTTCTTTTATCAACCTCTTTAACCCTTCACTGTGCGTCTTTGCGCATCTACAAAGTTAAGTTTTTTTTCTTTCTTTTTTTTTGCAACCTTCATAATTTAACATTGAAAACTGCTTCGCACAATTGCAAAAGGGATTCTCTTAATAAGAGGAAAGAATTGACCACCAGAGAGTGAAAAACATGATCTTTCCTCTCAGATTCGTCAGTTTTACGCCAATTATCCTTTTGGTAAGATGGATAATTGTTGTTTGATTATTTCGTGTTTATTACTTCAACTTGAAGGTTCAGTCACCGACCCCCTAGAAAATTGCTGAGTAGCAAAAATTTATTCCCCCCTCCTCAAAAATTGCAAGAAATTTTTTCTGCATTTGTTTAAAGATTCGAAATAAACACTATGGAAATTTATAAAATGAAAACGCTTTAATTGCGATATTTACAATAATTTTTGGAAGCCTAATTACTAAAATCGAATAACATATCTTAATCAAAATATACAACTATGATAGAGTTGAGTTGTAGGCTGCTGATACTTCAACAGCATTTATCCTGTATTCCTTGACTAATCCTGCATGTGAAAATAATAATTACCCTTCACTTTTAAAAAGTGTGAAGTAAAGGGATAAGGGTTAAATCTTCCGCTGTTAGAAATCCATTTATGCATATTTTCTTTTGAACATTATGCTTTACCATGATTAAGAATGTTATAATGTGCCCTTTCTAATCATCATTTTTTTGTATTTTTAAAGACCGTATGATTTCTATAAAAAATGTATGCTAATGCTTCATTTTTCTCCATCACAATTCTTTAAAAAACCAAAATATAATCTATTACTTCCAAATTCAAATGGCGCAGGGGATAGAGCAGTCACCTGGTTACCCAGGTTCGAATCCCAATTATAGCTGGTCAGTTAGTATACTACTCTTGATTCACGCCAACCTCACTACTGATCTATAAAAGTTTTGTAGTGGTAGATGGATATTGGTTCGAAATCCCCTTGGAAGTCTTCGTGGTTTTTAACTCCAAGTAATGCATGTGAGTCAGTTACACACAAGCGAACTTGACCATGCTTGATCTAGGAATTTCTTTGCCTTTTGAGTTGGGTTCATAATAGCAAGACTGGTTGTGATGGATGCCAGATAGATTGTCTGTGCAAAGTCTGTGATAAAATAAAATTTATGATTTATTGCCCTCAGAGTTAAGTAGTTATGCTGAGCCAGGTCACTATTTCTTGACTTCGAGCTATAATTAGAAATATAATTTGGCATAACCCATATAACTAAGTGTTTAAAACACACATCATAAAGGAACATTAGACCTTGAAAGTAATTATTGCTTATTTTTACTTATTTTGCTTTTAAAAACACTTAATGCTTTGTGTTCCTTCTATGCAAGATACCTAATATACCAGACTTTAAGAGAAAATAATTCATTAACCTCCTGAGAAGCAGCGAACAACTGTATTGAACAATTTTCTCACTTAAAAAACAATTGGTACAAATTTATCACTTTCACATTTGGTACAATTTTATCACTTTCACATTTGGTATAATTTTACCAATTAAAAATATTTTTTTATGATTTGCTTTTTTGATTTATATCTATAATCTAATTAATTTTAGATTTGTAAGGTCATGGAAACAAATCTATAATCGTAAAAACATAACTAGGTTGTCTCTCGTTAGTCGGAATTTTAATTACAATTAAAGAAATTGTAAGAAAAATTAAAAATTTAAGTCAGTTGCCTTTTTGACATTTTTATAGTAATATCTTAATATCTGAGTCTAGTGGAGCTTGTTCCATGACCATTTTGAGAAAAAAAAATGCTCCATAAAAGTATTCGACACCATGTAAAAAATGCTATGAATTAAAATTTATTATTTTTTTAAGTAGTAATTGAAAAGAAAAATAACTAAATTGAATTAGTTGAACTTAGAAAAAAGTATTATACCGCGTTTTCTGCATCTTTTTTTTAAAGTCAGGTCTCAGAATGACCGAACGCTTTTTAATTACATTTTGATCAATATCAATTACATTTTTTTTAGAATTAATCTACATCGAATTCTCAAAGGAAGAAAATAATTTTCTTTCTGCGAGATAAAAAAAGAAGAATTGAATTTAAAGAATTAATGTCATTCAACACAATTATTCTGTTAAATCTTTAGCGTTCAAGCGACTTTGAAAAAAAGAATGGAATTATTATTTTCTATAAATTTTATTTAGTGATAAATTTATGCTTGTATCGGCCAGAAACGACTGAATCCAACGTTTTCAATATAATCGTGCTGCTGCAACTAACATTTGAACATTTTAGCTAGTCGGAAAAAAGAGTTGAAATTTTGATTTCAAAATTCCATAGTTTCAGACACAAAAGCAGAAAATAAAAACGTAGTAAATATATATTGTATTTCATTTTGTTAGCGTATTGAATTTTTCCTTGATAGCTCTTATCTCCAGAAAAAATAATAAATTTAAGTGATAGGTAGTATTAGAATGACATATGACGTCATACAGAAAATTTGTGATGTCATTCTGACTCTAAATATCAGTGATATTTTTTTTTTATCAAAATGGAAGACAATAAATTCACATGCATATCTTTTTACGCAAATTATATATAAGTAATATGACTCTTAAGATAAATGATTTTTTAAAGATTTGTCTTTATTAAATTGGGATATTATTTTTAAGACCTTTGTATAATTTTTGACAATTCTTTCCTAGGTGTGCACTTGAACTCTAGAAGAATGTCCACCAAATTTAAAAGTTTTTCAGCCCGACTTACTAGAAAAAAATATACTGACACAAATGTCTTAGAAACTAATTTACGCCGATGTCTCAACACAGCAGATATCACTCTTCTAGCCGTTGGTCACATGGTTGGATCTGGTGTCTATGTTCTAACTGCAACTGTGTCCAAAAATATTGCAGGTCCGGCGATAATCTTAGCTTTCTTGCTCAGTGGATTTGCTTCATTTTTAGCTGCTTTGTGTTACGCTGAACTTGGAGTTAGATATCCAAGATCTGGATCTGCATATTCATATACGTATTTAGCCCTTGGAGAACTATGGGCTTTTCTAGTCGGTTGGAATGTAGCACTGGAACATGTCATAGGTGCAGCTGCTACAGCTAGATCATGCAGTGCTTACATAGACTCTTTAACTGGAGGTCGAATCAAAAATGGAACAATAACATTTATTGGTGAAATCAACCAACCATATATGGCAGAATACTTAGATTTCCTAGCATTAGGAATTTTAACTTTATTTGTGATATATTTGTCATTTGGGGTTAGAATGACTTCACATTTAAATAACGTGTTCACATACGTAAACTTATGTGTTATACTTATTATAATCGGTGTAGGAGCATACTTTGCTGATACGGCGAATTGGACTAATCCAGAAAGAGGAGGATTCCTGCCGTATGGTTTTTCGGGAGTTCTTGCTGCAGCTGCTTCATGCTTCTATGCTTACGTGGGATTTGATGCAATCGCCTCATCGGGGGAGGAAGTAAAAAATCCACAGAAATCTATACCCAAAGCAACTATGTTTTCAATGGCTATTGCTACTATTGCTTACGTTGGAGTATCTACTGTATTAACTCTGATGGTTAACTACAAGGATATTGTCGAAGACTCTGGATTACCGGAAGCTTTAGCTTATCATGGCGCACATTGGGCAAAAATAGTAGTGATTGTAGGAGCTGTTAGTGGTATGGCTACTGCAATAATTGGAAGCCTCTTTGCCCTAACCAGAGTAACATATGTTATGGCAGATGATGGACTTTTGTTTGCTTTTTGTGCAAATGTTAACTCGAAAACCAAAATCCCCTTAACAGCAATGTATATTTTCTCTTCCCTGTCCGGCATCCTTACATTAGTTTTTGACATCAGTATTTTAGTAGAAATGCTTTCGATTGGAACCTTGTTTGCTTACTTAGTTGTTAGTGCTTCAGTCATAGTCCTTAGATACAAACCAGCCGCTGAACTAAAGACAAATTGGCAAGAACTCAGCCCAATTGGAGGTGATAAAAGCAAAGAAATACAGGTGGTAGAGGCTGTAGATCCTGCAGGACAATTAAAAAGCCAGTTCAGAAAACTACAGGCTTTCATTGACTGGCACCCGGGGAAGCTTGTTCTTATGTGCTTGACAAGCTATGTAGTGTTCACATTTCTGCTGTGTGGATTTGTGAGAGTGTGTTATGTCAGCATAATTGAGGGTGCTTGGTGGTCTATTTGTATAGTGGTCATTCTACTCTGTGGTTTTGCAATATCATTCATTCTGATAATGCTTCATGAACAATCCTCATTACATATTAATTATAAGGTAAGGCACTATACATTCTCTAGAGTCAATATTTTGATTGATTTAAAAAAAAGTAAATTTTAGAACTTAAGGCCTTAGTTTGTGACTATAATAGGTAAAAAAATTAATTGTGCTTTGAATTTTTGTTCAACAGCACTGAATTAAGTACCTGCGTCGCATTAAGAATATTTTTGCTATGTCTATTTTTAGTTTCCTTTCTTATTTCATCGTAGGAATGATAAAAAAAAAAATTCTAAATTATGAAGCATTCAGTGAATTTACCAGATTTTACCAATATTTATTCTTTAATTATAAAGTTTAACGGAAAACAAATATTAAAATTTAATCAGGAAAAAATTCATACTGATCATTAAACATATTTGCCAAACTTCAAACCTTTTTTTTTTAATTTTGAGATATATCGGTAAAAATATTAAGATTAAATTGTGAAAAATACTAAGTTATAAAGTGTTATGCACATTTACCAAAATTTTACGGTTTATTTGTGATTTGTTCTTCATTCTTAATTACAATTAGTACCTTAATCACAATTACAATTAGTATCTTAATCACAATTACAATAAGTATCTTAATCACAATTACAATAAGTATCTTAATCACAATTACGATTAGTAATTACACTCTTAATTACAATTAGTATATTAATTGTAAAAGTAACTCGGACTTGAAACAAAAAGGATAACAAACTACTAATGATTAAGAATTTTTGTTTCTGTTCCACTCTCAACATTTCTTCTTTTTTTAAAAAAGAAAAATGGTACTTTGCGAAATTACGTGAATCGGTTTTACACAGATTTCTATTTTTAAAATGTCTTTTTTTTGTTCCTTTACAGATTTAGATTTATTATAGATGAACGTTTCTTTTAGGTACCTCTGGTTCCTTTGATTCCGGCATTAAGCATTTTTTTCAATGTGCTCCTTTTAGTAAATCTTCAAGCTGCCACGTGGTTGAGATTATTAGTTTGGGTAATTGTAGGTGAGTGTGAAACTGCTTTTACCAGAGCATTAAATGGTATGATACCTCCAATAATATTTACGTGATAGGCTAATTGAATAGTCTAGTTTATTGAAAACAATCGCCGTCATTTAGAAATGCACTTGGCTAATTCAGGAAATTTCTAAACAGTTTTAAATCAACCTGACACTTTTTATGGTTCATTGCAGTGAAGGCTCATGGGAAAATTAGAAAATTCATCATCCCATGATTAATTAGCCTGATTTACTATTTCAGGCTGTTTATACTGAGTGTAGTAATGGCTTATAGTAAATAGCTTAATTAAAGTTTTATTAAAAAAAGTCGAAGAAAATCTAGTCTCATCGAGTAGTTATTTGCACATTTCCTATTTAGCCTAAAAGTCAATATGCTGATTGTAATAAGTCTAACAATATCAGGATCTTTTGGAAATAATGAGGATTTTTTCAATTAGCCAAACGTATTGCAAAATACTAACTATATTTGCAAAGAACCGGTACTTCATTTAGCGTACGATATATATATATATAGTTAATAATTCAAAAATTATGTAATTAAAGTCACAATATTTGGTAAAAATCATTAATTGGGTATACTATAGCCTACGTCACAGGTTGTGTTATTCCTACTAAATTTAACCCATGAACGGCATTTTCTGCGACCCTAACTTCAAGCCACAAATAAACAAACGAAGTGTTTGATCGTTTAAATAGCTGCTCGCCAGATTTTATTGCATTATAAAGAAAAGTAATTGATATACGATTTTTGATTAATAATTGATTTATGTGGATAGTGGCATTTATGTGGATAGTGGCATAGAATTTAGCATTGCGTCATGGTAAATGTTATTCCTACTAAGTGGAAGTAGTTGTGTTTTTTTTATATTATACCCAATTATTGTTTATTTAAATGATGAAAATTAAAAAACCCGTCTAATTCAGCTAATTTTGAAACTGATGACTAGCATCAGCATGCACGCTATTTAAATGAGAGATTCTGCTTGCCATCATTAACATTATGCACCTATAAATAAAGGGATTGATTTAATTTTGAAATTAAGCTGTAATCAAAACTGGTACACAGCGTATATTTTTGACGATTCTTACAGCAAATTGAAGGCGAGCACGAAAGCAGATTGATAATTTAAAAAAAGTCTAGGAATACATGCAAAAGAGTAGTATTTCAAATTTTGTAACTTGATTTCCATGTACACTGTAAAAAATGGATAATCTAATTTCACGAAGCTTTCTTTCTTTGACGAGTCGCTTCCTAGTACATGCTCCAAACGAACATTTTGTCAAGTGATGAAATAATCCATCGTCATTTCTTCGAGGAAATAATTTCGTCAAAAAGTAGAGAAATATTTCGCCATTCTACGACCGATCGACTTGTCTTCATCCTAGTTTTGTCATTTTACTTATCAATTTCCCACAATGCACTGTGATGAGGTTTCAAGTTGAGGAAATATTTTTGGTATTTGTGAGTTCGAATTTCGTCCCAAATCATGCAATTTCGTGACGAAATAATTCTCAAAATTAACAAAATACAGCTGAAAGATTGCTGAATTGTCAAAAGCGGGAGTAACCCTTGAATACTGAAGGACTGAATAACAAATGGCATTATTAAAAGCTTACTGCCATCTGCATAAGCAAATTTAATTCGACTGAATAATTTCTCACACATTTCTACGTAGCCTAAATGCATATAGTCTGAAAAAGTTCAAAAAATATCAGGGTTATTAGAAAAATATTAAAAGCTTCTCAAACACACAGTTTTTTGAATTTAGTTACTTAACTTCATCTCTTTCTTTTTATAGGTTTGTCAATATACTTTGCATACGGCATTTCCCATAGCAAACTTAACGCTACTTCGTCGACATCCAAGTTAAATGCCTCACAGCCAACAATATCAGAGTTAATAAAATGATTCGAAAGTTTTGATGACTGAAAAAGAAAAAAATCTCAGAACAAGCCAATATCCTGTCCAAAGAAGGTTTTCTATAGATAATACTAATCTACATTGATACATATCATTAAATAATGTAATTCTAAATTTTTCCTCTCACATAATGAAGTGTGTTAAGCAAAAACTCATATTTATTATTATTATTTTTTATATGCATAAATTGAATTAATCTACTCAAGATATTAATAACATGAACTCAAGAAAGTAGAGAAAAAATGATCAAGTAGTAATGCATTACTACCCTCGCTGTTTTAAATTTTGCAAAAAAAAATTTTGATTTTCGAGTTTTTGGCAATTTTTTATACTTTAAAAAATTTAGACGATAGAGGGTGGATTCAGCACACATCCACAACAGAACGTCTGTCCTTTTTTTTTTTTAGAAAGAAGAAAAGACAAGAAATAAAGGCTTTACTTTATTAGCTTGGGGGGGGGGATAGCTTTTTACACCTTTTTGAATAGTAACTGATTTTTTTTTCTAAACATTAAAGCAATATTTTGTTACTGCTTATGTTTTTGTTCTAAAAATATTTGCTTACGTTGTTTATGTTTTCATTTATGTTTTATTCAGCACACATAAAAGTTATAAATTTTTCATTGTAAACCAGTTTTGGTTTTATTTTGCAAATAAAAAAGAGGAAAAAAAAACACATTTGTTGCAATTACCTATTATGGTTTTTAAAATGTTGGTATCTGATAATTTAATATAGACAATATTATAAGATTGCCAGATATGTTATAGCTTCGTATTAGCGGTAATTTTATATTGAAAATTATAATAATTATGAATTTGTATATAATAATGAATTCGTATGAATTTGTACAGTTTCAAACCCGTTAAGGTAAAGAAATGTACCTATTCGGAAGCGTTGCGGATAATTGAATGGACACACTGATGGATATTTTTCCATAATTTTAAAATAAAAATTGTAACAATGCCTTTTTCGCTTACATTTTTGCAAGTTTTAAATATAAATTAATAAAAAGGAATACGAACGGAATTTTTTAAAAAAAATAAAAAGCACGTTGTATTACGAGGTGCATCTAGAAAGTAAGTTTCCCGAATTTAAAAAAAAAAGAAGAACTCACACTTTCAGGAACATATTTATTAGCAACAAGTACAGCAATGTTTCAGCTATTTTTTGACATAGCCGCCACCAGAATTGAGACACTTGTCGTATCGTGGGATCAACTTTTGTATATCCCTCTGTCGAACTCTGCCGCCTGTGAATGGAACCAGCGTGTGACAGACGTCTACCGTTACTGTGAAACACCGCGGAAATTGTGACGTGCCATTCAAAACAAGAGTAATGGAATGCTTACTGCAGATGTTGCGTTCCTCCATGGCCATGCTTGTCCGCATACGGCACAACGCACAGCAGCTGTTTTAACGGAATTTGGTTGAGAGTTGTTTGATCATCCATCCTACAGCCCTGATATTGCTCCCAGCGGTTTTCACGTTTTCTTGCACCTCAAGACATTCCTGTCCTCCGGTGAGCGCTTTGGCAACGTCGAATTAAGACGTCTGAAGACGTCTGTCACACGCTGGTTCCATTCACAGACGGCAGAGTTCGACAGAGGGATATACAAAAGTTGATCCCAAGACACGACAAAGTGTCTCAATTCTGGTGGTGGCTATGTTGAAAAATAGCTGAAACATTGCTGTACTTGTTGCTAATAAATATGTTCCTGAAAGTGTGAGTTCTTTTTTTTTTTGTAAATTAGGGAAACTGACTTTCTGGATGCTCATCGTAGTTGTTAAAAAAAATATTTAATATGTTTTGAATGGGATAAAAAATTCTATCATTGAACGAAATTTCTAAATTTTTGTAAACTACAAATTGTAACTTTACAATTTCGTAAACTTTGTTCCGTTACAAATGGATTTTACGGTAAAAAGTACAGACACTCGGAATGTCGGTGTTTTTTCTGCCGAAATTTGATTAGGAATTGTTGGCATTATTTTCCTTTGTCTATACACCCTTTGAGAGTTGAGCTTACTTGTAAAAAAATGTTTCTTAAAAAAAGTGGTTGCTATTGCTTCCGTCTTCATAATCTGTTCATCGAATGGCTATTTTCAAAACTTTAACGTATCTTAGACTGTAGGTTTATTTTTTGAGACAAAAGCTATTCCTTTATATTTCCTACTTTAATATTTCCATCTAAAAGTGAAATTAAAAAATCTCGATGAATAAATAAATGTCTATTTTAAAGAAAAAGAAATTTGGCAAAAATATTTTCGTAGGTAATAAAAATATTTTCAAATTCCGATAAACTCTGAACAGATCTGTTGCTATGGATTTGTTTAAATCTTTAGAATTTAAAAATCACATTAAATGAGTTGCAAAAATATGCAAGCAGGTGTAGATTATGGTCATTTATCATTTATGGGAGGCTTAACCCCTTCCTTCTCGCTCCCATGAAAAAGACGGGGTGAGGTTTCGCCCTCTATTTCTCGCTCCCGTGATATATATATTTACCCTAATTAAGCGCTTATCTCAGCAAACTGCGTATTCTTTAAGAAATTGAGTGCAGGATTTCAAATTTATAAAAACATTTTGCATTTACTTAACACTAAGAGAAAGTTTCTTTTTTATATTTATTAAGTTTTTATGCTCGAATTGTTTTTTTTAAATAAGAAAAATCTTTATCCATTTCAAATAAACAATTATTTATCAATCTGACTTATGTTTAGGAAACTTGTACGCTTTATTAGTTTTTAAGACACACAGAATTAATAAACAATATGATTGAGTACGTACAGAGACAGGAGAATTTTATTTGTCCTAGGTTATGTACAGAGACATGATACTATTAGTATTTGTCCTAGACTATCTACAGAAACTGAAGACTTTTAGTATTTGTCCTCGACTATCTACAGAAACTGAAGACTTTTAGCATTTGTCCTAGACTATCTACAGAAACTGAAGACTTTTAGTATTTGTTCTAGATTGTGTACAGAGACATGATACTTTTAGTATTTGTTCTAGACTATCTACAGAAACTGAAGACTTTTAGTATTTGTCCTAGACTATTTACNAAAAAAAGAACTCACACTTTCAGGAACATATTTATTGGCAACAAGTACAGCAATGTTTCAGCTATTTTTCAACATAGCCGCCACCAGAATTGAGACACTTGCCGTATCGTGGGATCAACTTTTGTATCCGTCTGTCGCAGAATTTTGCCGCCTGTGAATGGAACCAGCGCGTGACAGACGTCTACCGTTACTGTGAAACACTGCGGAAATTGTGACGTGCCATTCAAAACAAGAGGCAGGTGCTGCATTCCCCCATGATAATGCTTGCCCGCATACGGCACGACGCACAGAAGCTGTTTTGACGGAATTTGGCTGAGAGTTGCTTGATCATCCATCCTACAGCCCTGATATTGCTCCCAGCAATTTTCACGTTTTCTTGCACCTCAAGACATTCCTGTGCTTATGAGCGTTTTGACAACGACGAAGAGCTGAAGACGTCTGTCACACGCTGGTTCTATTCACAGACGGCAGAGTTCTATGACAGAGGGATACAAAAGTTGATCCCACGATACGACAATTGTCTCAATTCTGGTGGTGGCTACTTTAAAAAATAGCTGAAACATTGCTGTACTTGTTGCCAATAAATATGTTCCTGAAAGTGTGAGTTCTTCATTTTTATAAATTAGGGAAACTGACTTTCTGGATACTCCTCGATGTTGTTAAAAAAAAACTATCTAATATGTTTCGAATGGGATAAAAATTCTATCATTGAACGAAATTTCTAAATTTTCGTAAACTACATTTTTTTGTGAACTACAAATTTTAACTTTACAATTTCGTAAACTTTGTTCCGTAACAAATGGATTTTACGGTAAAAAGTACAGGCACTCGGAATGTCGGTGTTTTTTCTACCGAAATTTGATGCGGAATTTTTTACATGTACGCACTTCTTCTGTACCATGAAAAATACAGGCAGAAACTATAAATTAAGCAAAAAGCTCTAAACGTAACCTTTTTATAAATTCGACTTGAGTTTTGAGAAAATCTTGTAGCTTTTTATTAACGCTAACTCTTTCCTTTTATTATTCAGTGAATATGCATTGTTTGGTATAGAAGTTTCATATAAATAGCAGAATATCTTAAGTTTTAATAAAGATCTAAAACTAATATTAAAAAAGTAATATATTTAACAATCATCACTTAAATCAGGAACTCTTACTAAAGATTATTAAAAAAAAGAAAGAAAAAACTAGGCATTGTTTTCCTTTGTCTATACACCCTTTGAGAGTTGAGTTTACTTGTAAAAAATGTTTCTTAATAAAAGTGGTTGCTATTGCTTGCGTCTTCATAATTTGTTCATCGAATGGCTATTTTCAAAACTTTAACGTTTGTTATACTGCAGGTTTATTTTTTGAGACAAAAACTATTTCTTTATATTTCCTACTTTAATATTTCCTTCTAAAAGAGAAATTAAAAAATCTCGATGAATAAATAAATGTCTATTTTAAAGAAAAAGAAATTTGGCAAAAATATTTTCGTAGGCTATTTTTCAAATTCCGATAAACTCTGGACAGATCTGTTGCTATGGATTTGTTTAAATCTTTATAATTTAAAAATCACATTAAATGAGTTGTAAAAATATGCAAGCAGGTGTATATTATGGCCATTTATCATTTATGGGAGACTTAACCCCTTCCTTCTCGCTCCCATGAAAATGACGGGCTGAGGTTTCGCCCTCTATTTCTCGCTCCCGCGATATTGACGGGCTGGAGTGTTCAGTAGTAACGTGCCTATTATAATAAAACTAATTTATTTCTTTTGACCGGAAAACATTTTATTTCTCATTTTACAAACCAGATGGCAGTACCAGGATATTTTTAAGGTAATTGTAGATGGTTAATTTTTTTAAAACTAGATGTCAGCACTAATCAAATACGTAATACAAATACAAAAGCCAAAAAATAGGCACTTTTATGACCGTTTTCAAGAAAATTAACCGATCGTTAAGGGGTTAAACTACATTTATTATAACAGTGCATTACTAAAGGTCAGTATTTCTTAGTGGACTTTTCAATCAATCACAACAAACTGTTTCTGACATGTGTTTCAAAGAGCGTCACTTTTCATTTTCAGAGACTTGTACTATGCTTCTTTTTTGTGATCGTAAATTAATTGTAAGTTTAGCAAATGTTTTAACAAACAGCAAAAGGTGTATAAGATTTTTGCCAGTTTTGTTAATTATGTATGATAATTTCAAATTGAAATTTATTTCTGTAATGAGTGTTCCGTACTGTTATAATTTTCATTCTAAAATTATGGTAAGCTAATCGTCTGCAGTCTGTACATCCAATTAACAGTAAAGTTTGTGATAAAGCACGTTTTTTACCATTACGGTTTTTAAACTGTTTACAACTAGTCTAAGAAAGCATGAATGCAAAGTTATACGGTTCTTTTTAACTATTTACAACTAGAATGGTTTTAGAACCATAAAAAATAAGTTTGAAAATCTCCCATATGATGTAGA